GCCTCGCTAGGGGGTCCAAGCACTGTGTGTGGGTTCTGCCTCCCCACACTCAGGGTCTCCTTTGCAGCCAGGGTGGGGAGAAGCAATCACGGGCTTGGGTGTCTGAGAAGGGATCACTGAGGAAAATCACGAAGAGGCCAGGAAGGAAGGTGGTGTCTCAGCTACTCAACCCAGAGCCAGAGAAGCGGCTTCCTCCTCCTTTACGGAGACCTTTGACCAAGCTCAGAAAATTCCTGGCTGATGGGGGCAGGGAGTGGGGCTTCTTGAATGGAAGAAACTGTTTTCCTCTTCTAGACAGGCTTTGGGTAATTCCACTCCTTTTCTCTGCCAAGCTTATCTTTGCCTAAGAATTCACACCAGTCCCCAGGGGCCCCCTGCTTACACAGCTGCTCCTGCTTCTCTTTTCATTGATGGGTAAGAAATGGGACAGATTTAAAATGTTTATGGTTTAATAAGCGTTTGTCTGAATACCAGTGACAGCCTAGAGAAATGACTTACAGGAGCTGGGGGGTCTGAACAAGGGTTGGGCCTCTCACTCATGACTTATCTCTGTCCCCAGTGGAGGCCTCCGGGGAAGAAATGACCAGGGGCCCGGGGTAAGCAAAGGCCTGAAGGTTTAAGAGGGTAAGGGAAAGGGACCCGCCTTGTGAACTTCCCACGTCCCACGTGGCCCAGGGCCAACGCTATTTTCAATTTCAAAAAAAATTGAAAGATAGGTGATTTTCAATTTCAAAAAAGGGGTGGCAGGCAAGAAATGCCTCTGTTGAGAAAAAGGACAACTAGGAAAGGAAATTAAATTTATCACATTTCTTGAGCCCCTACCTTGATCTTCCCTAGCGCCCTAGGCACAGGAGACGGGGAGGCAAGATTTATCTTCCGCTGATTGCTGAGTGGAGAGACTTGGATTCCCACAGGGCATGGCACCACGATAAACCACTGCAGACAGGGACAGAGACTGAGGGAGACTGCTGGGCACCAGCTTCGCCTGCCATGGTGCAGGGAAGGCTTCTAGAAGAGCTGATGTTTGGCCAGGGTCTTGAGGGGTGAGTAGGAGTCTGCAAGGGAGCACGGGCTTCCAGAGCACGTTCTCCGCAGTGGGGAAAGCTGGCTAGGAGGGTAGGATGCAGCAGTGCATGCGTGGAGAAACTCAGCTGTGCCTGAAATCCAGGCTGACCTTAGAGATACTGCAGGTGTGGCTCCAAACTCTCACAATAAAGTGAATATTGCAATAAAGTGAGTCGAATTTTTGGTTCCCCGCTGCATATAAAACTTATGTTTACACTATACTGTAGTCTATTAAGTGTGCGATAGCATGACTAAAAAAACAATTATTATTATTATTTTTGGGGGTGTAAACTGTATGCCCAGGATGGGGCTCAAACTCACAACCTCTAAGATCAAAAGTCACATGTTGTACCCACTGCGCCAGCCAGGTGCTCCTAAAAAACCAGTTTTTCGAATTAAAAAAAGTACCTTATTGCTGAAAAATGCTAACCCTTATCCGAGCTTTCAGGACATAATCACTGATCACCATGAAAAATTTTGAAATATTGCAAGAATTACCAATATACGACAGAGACACGAAGCGAACAAACGCTGTTGGAAGAATGGATGCCCAGAGACTTGCTCCAGGCGGGGTCGCCACAAACCTTCAGTGTGAAAAAAAAAAAAAAAAAAAAAAAAATGCGATTTATCTGCAAAGCGGAATAAAGCAAACGGCAAAACAAATCCCAAAACAAACACCCCCAGGAAGGTAGAATAGAGTGAGGTCTGCCTGCACGGACGCGGAGGTGTGTTGTGAGGAGGACCGGCACGGAGGGGCGACGATCCAGAGGTGGGGGGCTTAGCACAGAGGAAGCGGGCCCGGGTGGGCGACTGCTGCCCGCCCAAGAGCGGAAACAGAGTGGAGGGCAAGCCAAGCCCCGGCACCGACCCAAGGGGATGCGGCACCGGTCCCTGTGGGGGACCCTCCTCTGGGACTGGGGCTGCGCGTCTGCAGGGCCGGGCGGGGGGAGATGGGGCGGGGAGGCGGCCAGCCGGCGGCAGGGAAAGTCCAGCCTCCGCAGGCGTTCCTCGCCGTCGGGCCAACCTCCCATTGCCGGGGCGGCACCGACGGAGCGGCACTGCGGGCCCTGCGCGCTCGGAGACAGGTACGAGAGCGGAGGGACAGGGACCCGGCGGCAGGGGCGGCTCGGCCCGGGGCTGCTGCGGCAGAGCCGCGTCGGAGGAAGGGGCGGGGGGACCCCCGAGGAGACCCCGCCTCTGGCTGTCGGCCAGGTCACCGCGCCGCACCGCGCGCGCTCGGGAGGGGCTAGGAGGTCACCGGCCGGCAGGAGAGGCGGGGAGCCCCGGGGGCTCGTGTTGGGCAGCCGGGCGCGACCCGGGGCCCCGCGCCCACGCCGCCCGCCGCCCGCCCCCTCGGCCGTTGCCTCGGCGGGACGCCGTTCCCGGGCCGCCCAGGCACCGGGCTCGCAGGCCGAGCGCGCCCCTCCCCGAGGTGCCGCCAGGGCCAGCACGTGCCCGGTCGCCCCGGCGCCTCGCGTGGGAAGCGCACCTTCCGCCTTCGGGGGCTGCACCGGCCGCGTTCCCGGGCTGGGGGCGGGGACGGGGGGCGGGTGGGCCGGACCCCCAGCGAGGAGTGCGGGTCGCGGGCGCCTCCTCGCGACCGAAGCCCGGAAGATTCCTGAGTAGCGGGCGGCCGGGGAAGGGCGTCGCGCGGGCCTCGGGCGTCCGGGTGTCTGCGGGGGGCGGTGGGGGGCTGCGCAGGGACCCCGGGCGCGGGTCCTGGGCTGACCTCCCGGTGAGGAGGCGCAGACCCGCCCGGCCGCGGAGCTCTGGTCAGGCCGCGCAGTGTTCCTCGGGGACACAACGTGAGAGGAGCCCACCCTGCCGGCCGGGGAAGTGGGGGCGCGCAGCGGGCCGGGCCCTCAGGGAGCCGTGGGAGCCCCCGGGAGTAGTCCGATGTCCGAGCCGCAGGGCTGGCCCTCGTGTCGCACGGGGTCTTTTTTCTGTTTTTCTCCCAAGTGAATTGAAATAACCTTCTGGCTTTCGCGACCTTGGGATTGCAGCTGTGGGTCTCGATCTGGTGCAGTTGCAGCCGTGGTGGTAGAACTGGGCAGCAATCACAAGCCTTCTCTTCTATCTTAAGTCTCTCCCTTGGCTCTGCTCACCTCCCTCCCTAAAGGCGGTCTCCTCTAGAGAAGCATCCCTTGTCGTTCATCTTGTCCTAGAACAAGACTCGCAGAGCCACGCGGGCCTCCGTTCCGCACGCTGCTCTTACAGGAGCTGCGGGCACAGGCGGCACCCCTGTCAACCGCCCCCCCCCTCGCCCCCGCCCCCCGCTAGCCCCAGGAACCTCTGATTTGTTTGTGAAAGTAATGGCTAAATGAATCACTGTTTGTGCTAAATTAACGAAGCATGTACGTCGCTAAATGTGCCAGATTAAATTTTGCTGAACTTGGCTTAGGTATGCTGCTTTGTCCTTGTAAAATGAAGTCATTTTATACTTGAATAATGAATAACATTGGTAGAATTGCAGATTTTAAAATTTTAACATACAAGTCAGTACTTGTTTAATGTTTTGTACTGAAGGAATATATTCTTATGTCATTCTCCAGTAGTGACATGTACGCACATGTAGATACATACTGTGCAGACAGAACCCAGCACACTGCGCACACATACACACACACTCCTTGCACACTCACGCCACACTGCACACATACATTGTGCACACCCACATGCTACACACACTTCCTTTCACCCGTGTCCTCCAGAGTCACCCACAGCCTGCACACTCAGAAACCACAATGCATGCACACACACACACACACACACACACACACACTGGTTACAGAACCGGCTTGTGGAGCTTTTCTTGTGCAGAGAAATGCTGGCTTGGGCTTAAGGTAGGACACAGTTGACGTCTTTAAAGCTTTTGAGTTTTAAAGGCATCTTGGGAGAGTTTCTTTTAAAAAATATATATTAAGGGGCGCATGGGTTAAGCAGCTGTCTTCGGCTCAGGTGATGATCCTGGAGTCCTGGGATGGAGCCCCAAGCGGGACTCCCTGCTTAGCAGGTCATCTGCTCCCTCTCCCTCTGCCTGCCACTCCCCCTGCTTGTGCTCAAATAAATAAAATTTTTAAAAAATATTTTATTTATTTATTTGACAGCAAGAGATAGAGAGAGACAGACAGAAAGAGCAGAGAGAGTCGGAGAGGGAAAGCAGGCTTCCCCCTGAGCAGGGAGCCCAATGCGGAGCTCGATCCCAGGATCCTGCGATCATGACTCCAGCGGAAAGGCAGACGCTTAAGGACTGAGCCAGGGCGACTAACCCAGGCGCCCCTAAATAAAATATTCTAAAAAACAACAAATTTAAAAAACAATTAAAAACCCCACAAATTGTGCTTAAAAACAACAGGTATAATGGCTTTTTAAAAAGGGAATCTCTTGCTAGATTAAAACCCTTGAGACTGATTGCTTTGATTCTGAACCTGTCCTTCAACAAGTGGTTTTTCTTTTTTTTAAGATTTTATTTATTTATTTATTTATTTAATTTTTTTTTAAAAAAGATTTTATTTATTTATTTCACAGAGAGAGAGCACAAGCAGGCAGAGAGGCAGGCAGAGAGAGAGGGGGAAGCAGGCTCCCTGCTGAGCAGAGAGCCCGATGTGGGGCTCGATCCCAGGACCCTGAGATCATGACCTGAGCTGAAGGCAGAGGCTTTAACCCACTGAGCCACCCAGGTGCCCCTCAACAAGTGTTTTTAATGGCCCTCTTTCTTTCCCCTTTGAAATCCTGAAAGAAGGTACTCTTGAACATTTTAGAAGCCGGTAGTAGACGGGCCTCTTCTCCCGCACCTGAGTGCCATGGCCTCTCGTCCTCTGCGGCTCTGCAGTCTCCTATGGGCAACGGGGAGGAAGGGATGCGCCCCTGCCCGCGAACCCGCGGACCCGGCCCTGCCCCGCCCCCTCCAATCCCGCCCTCTCCCGCAGGCAGAGATGCGGCTGCTCCTGCTCGTGCCCCTGCTGCTGGCCCCGGCGCCCAGGTCCTGGGTGAGTGCGGCCCTGCTCACAGCTCTGCCTGGGCCCCCAGCTGGAGTGCAAGGCGGGGGGAGGAAGGGGATATGGGTGGTGGGGCGCAGGCCCTCAGCTGGGAGGACGCCCTGGGGTTTAGGACGCCACAGCTTGGAGCCCCCTCTCCCAGTCGCGACCTCCTGTGGGAAGCTGGGGTAAAGGCAAGTCCTGGGACCCCCAGCTCTTTCAAAAAGGGGTGCAATCTGAAGCTGTCTGACCAAGGGGCCCAGAGCAGCCTTCCCGGCTGCAGGGCGCAGCACTGGCAACTTCCCCCCACCGTCCTCCTTCAGAAGGTGCTAGGTGCACACTAATGCCCGGACTCCCCACTCCCCATGTTGTCTTCCAAGACGGAAGGAAGGGGAGGGGGCAGTGCTGGCTCCAGCCAAGGTGCAGGGCGACCCGCCGGTTACTCTGCAGATGAAATGAGTCAAGGGGTGCAAAAATGCCCTGAGTCCTCTTAGGGGCTTTCTGCCTTAGAAACACCTGAGTGACCCCCTCCCACCTCTTCCCGCCCACAGCATGTGAGCTGGGGTTTGGTGGGGATGCTGAGCTCTCCTCCTGTCGCTGGCTCCAGTCGCTGGCTCTGGCCGGGGTGGGGGCAGAGCCCCCCCCACCCCAGGGTCCCTTCTGGGTGCCGACAGTGGTGAGGGAGGCAGAAAGTGCAGATGCAAACCCAGGCTGGTCACGGTTGGTTTCCTCTGCCTCTACTCCCACCCCCTCACGCCCCCTCTCACACCCCTGCGCAGGGCAGCCCTGGGAACAGCACAGCAAGAAAGAGGGTCCCTGAGTTGCCTTGCGGTGCGGTGCGTCGGAGGGGGGGGGGCGGGGAAGGAGGAGGGGCTTGTTCGGGGAGCCGCAGGGGCAGGTGAGGACCTTGACCGGCCAGCGGGAGCGTGGCCTGGACGAGCTCATTCCGTCCCCACACTGGCAGCTCATGGTTGGGGTAATTATGGGGAAACAAAACATGCCTGATGCGAAATGTGCTTTCTTTCCTCAGCCCGTGTGGAGGGAATCTGGCCGGCTGGCTCGCTCCCTCCCTCCTGCCCGCTGGTACCCCTCCCCGCAAACAAGTGGCTAGCTGCCTCAGGGGTGCTGGGTGCAGGAGGCCAGGGCTGTTTGTAAGGCTCTCGGCTCCTTGTGCTGAGAGAGGCGCCTGGTGTTTGCTCTGGGAGAGAGAATCCAGGCTCCCAAGCGGAGATAGGGGTATGTTTTTAGGTAGGGGCCCTCTGAGTACCAACTCACACCTCTGAGGGTGTCTTTTCCTCCAGGCTCCCAAGGTGAGACGGCAGAGTGACACCTGGGGGCCCTGGGGGCCCTGGAGCTCCTGCAGCCGGACCTGCGGAGTGGGCATCAGCGTCAGGGAGCGCCCCTGCTTCTCCCAGAGGTAGGGGGGCTGGGCGGGGCCAGCCTGGAGTGGGGGGGACAGGCTGCTCAGGGGTCAGCTGGGTCCTGCCACGGCACTGGCAGAACGCAAGGAGCCGTGGGTTTGCTGTGGGAGCAGCGTGCCTGGAGTATTGAAATCGAATACACTCTGATTCTGACAGTCAGCCTTGTTTTAGGGGAGCTAGAGCTGAGCCTGCTGCCCCCAGCCCCGAGTCCCTAGCTCCCAGTGCTACGTCTGGCATGTGGCAGGTGCAGTAAATTCTTGGCAAACCAACAATCTTCAATTCCTAGCATGCAGAGTTTCTCTACCTTTGGTCTCTGTTGAGTATAGACGTCTCCCACTTCAAGGGAAGTTTAAGCCCCTGCTATGTGTCCTGCGCTCTGACACGTGCTAGTGAAGGCTGGGGCACAAGCAACGTGGGGGTGACCTTTGTCAGTGGTTTGAACTCAGTCTTCCTGAGCACCTCGTGGGAGGAAGACGAGCCTCGAGCTCTTAGTCCAGGCATCATGTGCTCCCTAAACTGCAGAATGACCTTGGGGGGGGTGGGTATACATTACATCTTACTTTCTCTCCAAAGGCCAAAGTTGGGTCTTCTCTGGAAGTTTGCTTTAAGAGGCAAGGTAGTCCCAAGTTAGAGGACCTCCGAGATACGCTTCTGAGTCTAGCTTTAGTCTAGTATAGACACAGGGCTCACCGCGTCTGCCTGAGGGGATCTGTGTGTGCAGGTCCCCCTCCTCTGCCCCAAGTGGCCTGCAGGAGAGCCCGAGGAGGAGGAAGGGGTGTTGGTTCACGGGGTTCAAGTCTTCCTGGTGTTCTCGTCTTCAGGAGAGATGGGGGCTCCAGCTGCGTGGGCCCTGCCCAGAGCCACCGCTCTTGCCACACCGAGGTAAAGCCTGCAGGAGTGGGGACCCCAGCTTCCGGGAGCCCCTCCCTTCCTCCCCTCCCAGTTCCCCAGGGCATCCTCCCGCAGGTGCACAGTCTGGACTTCGGGAAGCCCCTTGCTCCCCTCCCACCCAAAATGACAGCCTCCTCTCCAGCAGCCCAAGCCCCTGCAGGGGAGTACTCAGGAGGCCTGGGGGCCCACACCCCCAGTCCTGAGCTGATGGGGTAAAGGGAATGGTTGGTGGGGACCAGTCACACCACCCCAGGTGCAGTGGGGTAGGCGGACCCCTGTGGAGGCCCCACACGTCCCTCCCCTGCAGAGCTGCCCGGCGGGTGCCAGGGACTTCCGGGCAGAGCAGTGCTCCCAGTTCGACAGCCAGGACTTCCAGGGAAGGTGGTACAAGTGGCTGCCATACTACGGAGGTGAGTGGAGGTCCCAGCGCCTGCACCCCTGCTGCCGCACCCAGCTGCTCCAGATCTCTTCTGCACGCTGACTTTCCACGGCGCGGTGCTTACCACCATATTACAGACGCTCTGTCAAATGCATTTTAAAAAACTCACAGGACCCCCCAGCCGGTACTCATCGCAACACAACAGGGTCGGGGGCCGGAGGAGTCATTTTGAGTCTCTCTATCCTTCTATACATTTTCAAACAAGGCCACTAGGCCGTGTCTGTGCCACTTGGAGCCCTGCTCTCTCTGGCCTGCTCCGGAGGCGTTCCTCGTTCCTCGTGCTGCAGAAGCCATGGGGAATTAGGGTGCCGGTCAGGGCAGGCCAGGTGGGGGCCAACTGAAGGTCAGGGCTGCAGGGGGCTTGGTACGGCAAGAGCCCATTTACTCAGGATCCGTGGGGCCCACGGGCTTGCTCTGAGTGGCTTTGAGGAGGGTGGTTAATTTTTAGAGCAATATAGTTTAAGGAAAAAACCCGTGTATGTGACTAAAGCACTTCAGATGTGTCAGAAGACTCCTTGGGCTCCTCCTTCTGAGTAATAATGGCCACTGCTCGTTGCCAGCAACTCCTGAGGAGTATGGCATCTGGCTGCATGACCATTTATATTCTGTGTGTGCTGCTGCACGGGGAACGGGGTCTTGGCTGGAGGGGTGGCCCCAGGGTAGTCTGCGGCATTCACTGCTCCTCCTGGATAATTTGAATGTATCCATATTTAAAAAAAAATTTATGTATTTGACAGAGATCACAAGTAGGCAGAGACACAAGCAGAGAGAGAGAGAGTGGAGGAAGCAGGCTCCCCGCTGAGCAGAGAGCCCGATGCGGGGCTGGATCCCAGGACCTTGGGATCATGGCCTGAGCTGAAGGCAGAGGCTTAACTCACTGAGCCACCCGGGCACTGCCATCCACATTTTATAAAAGATTTATTTATTTGAGAGGGAGCGATCATGCAAGAAGAGGGAAGGAGGGAGGGAGAGAGAGAATTCTAAGCAGACGCTATGCCCCGCGTGGAGCCCTGCTCGGGGCTCAATCCCACAACCTGAGATCACAGTCTGAGCTGAAATTGAGTCAGATGCTCAACCGACTACACCCCCATGTGCCCTAAATACACCCATGTAGAAGAACCAGAACACAGAGGAAAGGGTCACGGAGGGATGCCTTCTCTGTGGTGCAGGTGACTGCGGTCCTAGTAGGACTTTTGGCTGTTTAAACAATGTGTGTATAATATTTAGATGGCTATAAAAATGAAAACTCCTAAGTGACCTTGACCCCACACCTCTCCTAGGATTTGGCCTAGCATTCCATCTAGCCGTTTTCACATTTTTGTCTCTATAAACACATACATATTTGTAATTATTACGTAGCCCCATTCTGCATTGTGTGGGAGAAGCGTCTCCCCACGTAACCGTATGGTCCAGTATGTTACAGCACAGCCCACATGCCTGCTGGTCTATTAGTAACTGACTTTGAGGCGCGGGTTGTTAACACATGGGCTGATTATAAGGCTGCGACAGACCTCTCCAAGGGGCTAGCTTTTTCCCTATCCTGGGATTTTTCTTCCACTTGATCCCCAGGGAGGCTGCGGTTTTGTGAACGTTTCCAGCGGGGGTGGGGTGGAGTGGGATTCTCTCCCACTGGGAGAGCCCATGCAAGGGCTTTCTCTCCGCATCCCCCGCCCCACGTGCGTGCTTCTGGCCCCGCCCACCGTTCACTGTGCCCAGGAGAGGACTTGCTGCTTGCTTGGGATCTCAGTTTCCCCCTCTGTCTGCCTCAGCCCCAAACAAGTGCGAGCTGAACTGCATTCCCAAGGGGGAGAACTTCTACTTCAAGCACAGGGAGGCTGTCGTGGATGGGACACCCTGTGAGCCTGGCACACGGGACGTCTGTGTGGATGGCAGCTGCAGGGTGCGTGGTGCCCTGTCCCCCCTCCCCTGCGGGCTGGCCTGGGGTGTATTGTGGGATGTCTCCGTGCCCTGCACCAGAGGCTCTCAGGAGCTTAATATCTTCTCACGGGCAGCTTTGAGGTGTCTTTGCATCACAGATGCCCTGTGACCTTCTCCCCTTTGCCCTTTGCGACCAGGCACCCCAACAGGATCACCCCTCTGGGTGGCAAGTTATAGAAACCCCATGAAAACTGACAAAGGGGAAGAAAGCCCTCCAGGGCTGGGCTGGCTGGCTGCAGGGGCTGGAAATGTCTCCTCGCCTCTGGGCTTTTCTCTCCTCTGGGTCTGCGCTGGGATCCTGGGAGGTATGCAGAGGGTCAGCAGCAGCTCCCAGCTCTAGCTGGAAAGGGCACCCACTTCTCAGGGGTCCCAGTGACCCAGAGTTGCCCCGGATTTGTCTGGGCTGGGGGATTCCTGTGAACGACTTACTTGGAGCATGGCGTGGAACCCACTGACTTGCCCCACATTCACTGTTGGGGAGTCTGTCCAACCTGGGACAAACGAAAATGTATTGTTGCCAGAGAAGGGGAGACGGGTGCTGAGCTGTGGGAAGGGGTAAACTGTCAGCCACAGGCCAGATCACTCGGCCTTAGTGGGCAATGAATAGCTACTGCCCCCCACCCCCCCGATCTGAGCAGTGATTTGGGTTCAAATCTTCATGTGTCCGTGACCTCTGGGGTCTTTCTTCTCTTCATCTCTGCCTGGTAGGTCGTGGGCTGTGACTACAACCTCGACTCCTCAAAGGAGGAGGACAAGTGTCTGCAGTGTGGGGGTGACGGCAGGACCTGCTACCCCGTCACAGGCACCTTTGATGCCAATGACCTCAGCAGAGGTGGGGGTTGTTGGGGGCGGGGGCCCACAGGCAGTTGAGGTGAGGGTCTGTTGCCTGTCCCTTCCTTGCCTGACTTCCGCTCCAGCTGAGTCACCCTGGTGGCCCTGCAGGCGTCTGATCTGGCCCTCAGGTCATGCCTTAGGGTGGAGGTCCAAGCCTTTCCCTGGAGCCTGTGGGCTTGGGCTAGTAAGGACCTCTGCCTCCTCACCCAGTGTAGGCTCACACTGCCCGCGCTAGGTACCCCTCCTCACCCCCTCTCCCTGGCCCTCAGCTGTCCCCTCCCCCTTCCCAGTCAGGCCTGCCACTGTCCCTGACCCTGGCTGTGCTGCCAGGGGCGTGGGGGGTCCTAGAGTGTCTCTGCCCCCGCAGGCTACAACCAGATCCTCATCATTCCCGCGGGGGCCACCAGCATCCGCGTGGAGGAGGTGGCGGCCAGTAGGAATTTCCTGGGTGAGTGCGGGCTGGGGTGAGTCTGGGCGGTGGCCGTGGGGTGGGTCCCTCCGCGGCAGCCGACCTGGGGCTCACACGTGCGCAGCGGTGAGGAGCCTGCGGGGAGAATACTTCCTCAACGGGCACTGGACCATCGGGGACGCCTGGGCCCTGCCCGCGGCCAGCACCGTCCTGCACTACGAGCGCGGGGCCGAGGGGGACCTGGCCCCTGAGCGGCTCCACGCTCGCGGCCCCACCTCCGAGCCCCTGGTCATTGAGGTGAGAGGCTGGTGGGCGGCGGGGGCACTCGGGAAGCCAGGCTGAGGGGGGCGGGTCCGGGGGGGGGGCGGCCTCAGCAAGGATCCTCCCGCACAGCTCCTCAGCCAGGAGCCCAACCCCGGTGTGCGCTACGAGTACCACCTGCCCCTGGGCAGCTCGCGGTCGGGCTTCCGCTGGAGCCACGGCTCATGGAGTGACTGCAGCGCCGAGTGCGGGGGAGGTGAGCCATCTGCATGTCCTGGGAGCCACGTGGGGGCACCCAGGGCTCAGGGAATCCACAAAGTGCCCCCCCCCGACCCACCCTCCAAGCTCAGAGAACCAGAGAAGGCTTCCTGGAGGTGGTGGCATCTCAGAGGACACTGTATTCCTTGGGCAGCAGAGGCTCAGCCCTGAGTGGATCACCAGGGGTTAGAGCAGGGCACCAGCACCTGCACATAACACCTCTCAAGCCTCAGTTTCCTCCTCTGTAAATTGGGGATAATGATGGCATTTATCCCAGGAGGTCATCTGAGGCTTGATCAAGATGTCACTTGGAATGCATGCAGAATGGTGCCCAGCCCAGAGACTGCCTTTGGTGATTATTGACTGATCACCTGCCCTTGATGCCTGGGCCTCTGCAGGTCACCAGTCCCGCTCGGTGTTCTGCACCACTGACAACGAGGTCTACCCTGACCACATGTGCCAGCATCAGCGGCGGCCGGCCGACCACCGCCCCTGCAGCGCTCACCCCTGCCCGCAGACCAAGCGGTGAGGCCTTTGCCAGTGCCCCCACGGTGGGGCCCAAGCACTTGGGTGGGAAGGCACTGGGGTCTCTAGACTACTCTAGATGTTGAGCAAACAGGTGGGTGTCCAGGGCTCCCTACAGCTGGGGCAGAGTGGGGAGGAGGCAGCTGTCACTGTGGGAAGCAGCGGGAGGATGGGTGCATGAGCGTGAGGTCCGGGGCTATTCTGTCCACCCGTGTGTGCCCACACAGGGCCCAGAGCATCCAGGCTGGTGGTGGGCAAGTGGGGGGAAGGTACTGGAAGCCCTGTCTGAGCCAGCAGGGGACTTGGCTCGACAGATGCCAGGAAGTGGGCCAGGGACTGGGCCAGGGGGCCTGTGGGCATCAGCAATGCCTTTGTTCATGCACGAAGGACCTCTTACCTGCACCGGCCCAGAGCGTGGCACCTTGCCGGGGCCCAGCATGCACGCAGGAACAGGTAATCTGCAGGCCGCAGGTTCCCTGCTGGGCTGGCGCAGTCCTTCCGCCCTCATGGCCTCGGTGGCAGCTGGCCTTGCAGGATGGTGGTGGGCTCGGCTTTGCACGGTGCCGCTGGGGCTGTCCTTTCCTCCCGTGCCCCAGGGCCGCTCTGGGAGATGCTCCCAGCAAGGGCAGACACAGAGGCAATGGAGTCTGGCTGGGGATGACAGGGGCCCTGGTGAGGAGGACAGGAAAGCCAAGAGGGGGGCAGCCAGGCTCTGTGTTGTAGGGACCAGTGCTTGGTGGCGAGAGATGGCAGGCAGAGCAGGCGCTTGGCCTTTTATGCAGAACTTTCTACCCCCGCACCTGTGCAGGCCCAGATGTTAGCATGGGCCAGGCTTGGGGGATTCCCAGCGCACTCCTGTGTGTGACAGCTGGGGCTCCCTTGGGCCTGGACTCTAGCCCCTGCTGCTGGGCCAGCCTTACCGGATTCCTCTCCCCACCAGCTGGAAGACGGGGCCCTGGTCGCCCTGCTCGGCCTCCTGTGGCGGCGGCTCCCAGTCCCGCTCTGTCTACTGCGTCTCATCTGATGGGGCAGGCGGCCAGGAGGCCACCGGGGAGGCGGAGTGTGCAGGCCAGCCTGGGAAGCCCCCTGCCACCCGGGCTTGCAACCTGCAGCGCTGCGCAGCCTGGAGAGCGGAGCCCTGGGGAGAGGTGAGCCTCTGCCCGGCGGGGTGGGGACCGAATCAGGCACTGGGTCTATGGGCTGGGGCCGCAGCAGAGCTGGGCAGGGAGGCTTGGCCTCCGCTAGGGAGGTAAAGTGACCTGCTAGGTGGTCTTGGAAGCTGTTGCCAGGGCTGGGACTGGAAGCAGGTGTTTGGACTCTCCCTCCTTCTCCAGGATTCCAGGCAGGGTGGGATAGACTTTGTCTTGCCACGAAGAAGCAGCCGGGCACCTTGCTGGGGGTGGGGGGCGAGGGAGGAGCTGGCACCGACTGGGGCTGCTGGTCTCTGCTTCCAGCACCTATATATGTTCAAGTCTTGAACAGGGGAATGTGGAAAATGTCCCTAAGCTTGGTGACAGCAGGCGTGGTGTAGGCTATACGACCTCAGAAGAGGGGTTCAGCTTCTCTGAGCCTAGGAGCTGGACGTGGGCCGGGGGTGGGTGGGGGGGTCCGGCTGTCTGACCTGCCATGGCCCCTTTGGGCGGGGGAGGACAAGCAAGCTCCCGCCGACAGCCTGGTCCTTGCAGTGCTCTGTCAGCTGCGGTGCCGGGGTCCGGAGGCGAAGCGTCACCTGCCGCAGTGATGAGGGGTCTCTGCTCCATGCCGCAGCATGCCCCGTGGAGGACCGCCCCCCCATCACGGAGCCCTGTGTGCGTGAAGACTGTCCCCCCATCCAGGACCAGGCCTGGCGTGTAGGCGCCTGGGGTCTGGTGAGTGCTTGCCTCTTCCCCCGCCTCCTCCCTGCCACCCAGTCCTGGTCCCTTGGGTCTCTGACAGGCGGCTGGACACGTGACCTTCCCTGGGTCTGGCCTGCCTCCCAGGCATCTTCCCCCTCCTTCTCTTCCTTGTGGGGACCCCCAACCCCGGGGTCTTGCTCCTTTTCTGAGCCTGTCCTTTCTCCCCCTGCCCACTCCATGGGCCCCAGTGTTCCAAGAGCTGCAGCACGGGGACCCGGAGACGCCAGGTCATCTGTGCCGTCGGGCCTCCCAGCCACTGTGGGAGCCTGCAGCTGTCCAAGCCCAGGGAGGCCGAGCTCTGTAACACACAGCCCTGCCATCTGCGTCCAGGTGAGAGACTGCGGCCAGTCTCCCCATGCCACGGCCATCGTGCCTGGCTTGTCTGGCCTCCTAGCTAGCGGCTCCTGGAGGGCCAGGTCCTTGACTTCCTCCTTGCTATTGACACCCCCTGGCCCCCCAGAGCTTAGCATGAGTGGGGTATTCAGTAAACGTTCACCGAATGACTGAGTGAGTGAGTAAGCCCCGCTCCTGTCCTTGTCTTCCCCTTCTCCTCACCCCCATCCCCGCTGGCAAGAAGATGCCCCAGGCCCGAGGAGCTGCAGGGGGAAGAGCCCAGAGGCCGGTACTTGCTTGGTGTGAGGTTGTGATATTGAGGAAAAACAGGGGATGCAGCTCAGCTCAGGGGGCGAGTGGGGATGGCTGCCTCCTGCTACCACAGGGAGGTGTGTCTGGCCCGGATGTGCTTCTGCTGGGGGCCCCGTGAGCCAAGCTAGTGAAGCCCCGAGGGAAGCACAGGGCATGGTGGCTAAGAACCAGGGGCTTGGACTTGACAGCGAACCTAAGTTTAAATCTCTGCTCCATTGCAGACCAGCGGTGTGGCCCCGCGGCAAGTGCCTCTCCTCCCTGATTGTCAGTTTGCCCATCTGTACAATGGGGTTCATAGTGCTTTTCAGGCCCGACTGAATTGTAAAATAAACTTAATGGTTATTTTTAATAAAATAATCTAGGTTTATTGTGGAAAATTTGGAGAAATTAAGAAAGCAACACAGAGACAAGTGAAATGGCCCTGATCCCTGCTTTAGTGGGAACATTCGTTAGCGTGCTGCTGGGTCATGTGAGCAGGCTTCTGTATGCGCTTTTCCCCCTTAAAGCCACTTGGTGTGTGAACATTCTCTAGCCCCGTGATTCCTCTACGGAAGTCCATGATGGGCGGGAAGGTAGAATTTAGGTGGTTTCTAGGGTTCCTGGGTGGTTCAGTTGGTGAGGCATCTGACTCTTGATCTCAGCTTGGGTCTTGATTTCAGGGTCCTGAGTTCAAGCCCAGAGTTGAGCTCTGTGCTCCGTGTGGAGCCTACATTTAAAAAGAAAGAAAAAAAGAAAAGAATTACACTGAAGGGGCTGCCTGGCTGGCTCAGTCAGAAGAGCGTGTGACTCTGGATCTTGGGGTGGTGAGTTGGAGCCCCATGTCAGGTGTAGAGAGTGCTTGAAAATGTTTCTAAAATTTAAATAATGTTTTATTTAACCTTAAATATTTTAAACATATAATCAGTATAAAAATGATTGAATAGGCTATTTTATATTCTTTTTTCACATGATTAAAAAATCTTCTAAATTGAATATATTTATTGTTCAGAGCATTTCTTAATTCAGATGCAGAATTTCAGTGGCATACTTGATCTATATTTAGATTTTGTAGGATGTGCAGTTGGAAAAGTAGATTCCCACACCCAAGTTGTTCCCAACATACTGAAGCATCTTCTAGTAAATGAATTGTCAGTTTTTCAGTTTAAAATTAAATTAATTCTAATGAGAATAAATGTAAAACGTGGTTTCTCAGTCACTCTGGTCACATTTCAAGTACTCAGTTGCTCTGACTGAGGCCAGCAGGGACCTCCGAACCTGCCCTCAGCCAGGATGTGGGGGTGGTGGCCGGAGTTCTGTCCAGGGGCTCGTGCTCTTAGGGCTGGGGACCTCCGGCTGGGCTGCAGATCAAATTGTCTGATAGGGGGAGCCTGGGTGGCTCAGAGGGTTAAAGCCTCTTCCTTAGGCTCAGGTCATGATCCCAGGGTCCTGGGATCGAGCCTCACATCGGGCTCTCTGCTACGCTGGGAGCCTGCTTCCCTTCCTCTCTCTCTCTGTGTGCCTCTTTGCCTACTTGTGGTCTCTGTCTATCAAATAAATAAATAAAATCTTAAAAAAAAACCAAAACAAAACACAAATTGTCTGATAGGCCCAGGGGAGCCCCTGAAAGCTTTGGAGTTCAACAGTGACAGGGTGAAAAGATCTTGAGGAGGACAGACAGGCACCTGCCTGAGAGCCAGACTGAAGGGGAGGCAGTTGGAGCGGGAGCCTGCTGGGGAGCAGGGCTGCAGAAATCCAAGAGCCCCCAAAAGCCGTGAAAACGAAGGGTCAGGCACTCGCCCAGCAGACCCTGGTGCCTAGAGAGTGCGTGGGAAGCGGAGCAGGACTGGAAGCCCGAGAAGGTGGAAGGGAAGAGTCCCAGGAGGGGAAGCTAGGAGCATATTCCCGGGCTGCTGGGGACTGGGACTGCAGCGCTGGAGGTGGGCCGTGCGGCAGGAGATGGCGGAACAGGGGAGGGAATGGGCCTCCGCCTTGTCCCAAGGTTTGGCCTGGGCCGGGGAGGCAGTGAAATGAAAACAGATTTTACCGTTTATCTACTAGACTTTTCCAACCCTAAATTATTTTTTAAATATTCCCTGGGGACTGGCAAGATGTAGTCCAGAGGGGGATGGAATTTTTTAATTTATTTGAGAGAGCGCATGAGAAAGCATCAGTGGGGGGTAGGGAGAGGGGGAAGCAGGCTCCCCGCTGAGCAGGGAGCCCGATGCGGGACTGGAGATCATGACCTGATCCGAAAGCAGACACTTAACCCACTGAGCCACCCAGGCGCCCCTTCACTTCTTTTACATAACTTTCCTCCGTTATGTAGTAGTGTGCTCACTGTGGAAAATTTGAAATGCGTTAACAAATAGAAGGGACGCCCCTGCCACCCGCTGCCTTCCCCATCCCCCCCGGGTGCTCGGAACAATGAGCATTTTGGGGCATGGCTGTTATACATCATTATAAAAATTCCTGTCGTCCGTATTTAGTTTTTTGCATTTTTTTTCTCCATTTTATGATGAAAAATCTTTTTAGTAACTTTGAAGTGGTTAAATATCATAGACCATAAAATTCACCTATTCTAATGGTAACTCATGATTTTTAGTAAGCTTACCAAGTTAGACAATAAGATGGCGAAAAAAAATTTTTTTTCCACATTTCTGAGCAGCCCCTAATCTGAGTCCCCAAACTGGGAAGATAGGCCTGTGCGTTTGTGTTAACTGCACTGGAATTAAACAGAGTGTCACATTAATTGCAGATTACAGTATAGTGACTCAGCGATTCTGTACTCATCATGACAAGTGAATCTTAATCCCCTTCACCCATTTTCCCACCCACCGCCCCTCTGGTAACCACCAGTGTGTTCTCTATAGCTGAGAGTCTGTGAGAGTCTGGTTTTTGTTTCTGTTTTTTCTTTGTTGGGTTTGTTTCTTTTCTTTCTTTCTTCTTGTTTAAGATTTTATTTATTTATTTGACAGAGATCACAAGTAGGCAGAGAGGCAGGCAGAGAGAGAGGGGGAAGCAGGCTCCCCGCTGAGCAGAGAGCCTGACGCGGGGCTCGATCCCAGGACCCTGAGACCATGACCCGAGCCCCGGGTTTGTTTCTTATATGCCACATATGAGTGAACTCATTTAGTGTTTGTCTTTGACTCAATTTGCTTGGCATGAAACCCTCTAGATCTGTCTGTGTTCCACAAGGCAAGATTTCATTCTTTTTTATGGCTGAGTAATATTCCTCTGTGGGGTGTGTGTGTGTGTGTGTGTGTGTGTGTGTGTACACACACCACTTTGTCTTTATCCATTCATCTATAGATAGACACTTAGGCTGCTTCCATATCTTGTCTATTGTACATAAAGCTACTAGGAACATAGAGGTGCACATATTTTCTTAAATTAGTGTTTTCATATTCTTCGGGTAAATAGTAGTGGAATCATGGTGTTACGTGGTAATTCTACTTTTAATATTTTGAGGCAGGATGGTGAAAAATCTTGAACATACAGAACAGTTGAAGAACTGCGTAGTAAGCAACCACATATCCACACCTAAATTCTACAATGACTGTTTCGTTATATGTGCTTTTTTTTAAAGTTAGTAGTTTTTAAAAGTTTTTATTTATTTATTTATTTGACAGAGAGGGAGCGAGAGAGAGACACAAAGATCACAAGTAGGCAGAGAGGCAGGCTGAGAGAGAGGGGGAAGCAGGCTCCCTGCTGAGCAGAGAGCCCGATGCAGGGCTCGATCCCAGGACCCTGAGATCATGACCTGAGCCAGAGGCAGAGGCGCTTTAACCCACTGAGCCACCCAGGCCCCCCTTTATTTTTTAAAAGATTTTTAAATAATCTCTACACCCAGCATGGGGCTCAAACTCATGACCCCAAGATCAAGAGTCACATGCTTTCCTGACCAAGCCAGCCAGGCACTCCACTTTGCCCATTTCCTTAATTGGATGGCTTGTCTTTTCATCAGTTCAATCTACACATATCATTTTTTGTTTTATGTAGTTGGGATCAAACATAGATACGAATTTTATATCTGGCTTTTCCTTTTGCTGCATTTTCTTTTAGCTTTTTTAAGTAACTAAAAATTCTTGAAACTTGGGAAGGGTGTTTTATGGACTCACAGCTTGTTCTCACTTCCGCTGTCCCGGGGGCCCTGCCTGAGCAGTGGGGTGGGGGCCCATGGAGGATGAGGTGGCTACTGCTCAGGCCTGATTGCCTGCTCCCTGCAGAAGTCCCCAGCGTGGAGGAGGTGCTCGATGGCCCCAGGGATCCCCGGATGTCTTTGGGCCCTCAGGTGGCCGCCAACCCAGGTGAGCCGCTCAGTGGACGCCCCCAGCCCAGAGCCCGGGAGCTGGAGGTTGAAGGTAGGGCAGGTGGTTTAGGGGGGATGGAGAAGGCAGGTCAGGTGTGGACAGATGCAGGTGAGCAGCCAGGTGGCGACCTCACGAGTCTTTTCCTTCTTCCTTCTAGATTCCAGAGACCAGTGGTGGCTCCCCCAGGAGCAAACCTTAGTGCAGGGTAATCCCAGAGGAGCCCAGGGCCTCCACCTGCCAGGCCTAGCCCCCTCTCTGCCACAGTCCCTGCACCAGCAGCCACCGCGGTCTGGCTTGGCACCCCAAGACTGCAGACACAGCCCCTATGGGTGCTGTCCTGATGGCCACACCGCGTCTCTTGGGCCACAGTGGCAGGGCTGCCCGGGAGCCTCTTGTCAGCGGAGCAGGTAGGGACCTCTTCCCAGTCGGCTAGGGAGGCGGTTTGCAGAGCTCCAAACGGGACTCTGCAGGTGTCTCCCCGCTGCCCTGCTTGTGCCTCTTGGCGACTCAGCTTCCTGTGGCTGATCTTCCTGATGTGCAGAGTGGGGGTAAAATCTCTGCTCTCACTACAGAAGTCGGCCTGAGCTCTGGGAAGGCGCTTGGGATAGAAATCTAGCATTCAGATCCAAACCAGTCTACCGGTCTGTCGGGGCATGGGGTGCTGAGAGCCCAGACTTTGGGGCCAGCAGCCTGGGGGCAGGGCGGGATCCCCGGCTCAGCCACTTACCAGCTGTGTTCTGGTGATGGGGGCAAGTTCCTTAACTTCTCTGATCTTGGCTTCCTCTGCTGAGAGGTGGGGACAATGACAGCCACCGGGATACGTGCCTCCTTCCCCTTCCGTTCCCACTCCCGGCCAGCAGGGCTGGAGCAAGTGGTGGGCTCCTCTGCTGTGATCTTGTAAAACCTCCCTGGGGACTTGCTCTGTGGGCAGGCTTAGTGAGTTTCCGCCTCTGTTTTTGGGGGGCAAGGCTGGAGTCGAGGACCCGTCAGCTATCAGGGCGACGCTCTGCCTGCTCGGTTCCTGCTGCCTCCCAGGAGGTTGGCGGACATGGCAGAGCCTCGGCAGGCAGAATGGTCTGCCCTGTGTGTGGGGACACGCTGTCTCCCGCTCAGGTCCTTGACTACTCAGCCCCCAGCACGGGGAGCCTCAGAGCCTGGGTCCTGGGATGCTGGTCGCTCGGGGCCCTGGAAGGGTTGGGGACTGGGGTGGGTGGTGAGGAGACAAGTGTGTGATGCCTGTCTAGGTACGGGTGCTGCCCTGATGGGGTGTCTGTGGCTGAGGGGCCCCAGCACGCAGGCTGCGCAGGGTCTTACAGCAGTGACAACACCGGGAGAAGGCCGGGGTCAAGAGCGGTGGCTTCTTCGGTAAGTGTCTGGTTTACACGAGGGGGCTGGGATCCAGCCCCCAAGCCTGCTCAGGGCCACTGTGATCCAGGCTCTCTGTAACTTGGGCTTTGGAGAAAGGAGGTCCCTGAAGGCTGCTGGCCAACAGGGCCTCCGAGATGGGCCTGGGCTGAAGTGTGTGTGTGTGTATGTGTGTGTGTGTGTGTGTGCGCGCGCGCGCCCGCGCGAGCCTTTATCTGACCTTCCCCTGGCCTCTCATCTCCCCTGAGGCTCTGCATCAAGGCTCATAATTCTGTCCCTCTCTCTTCCTGTCCTCCTTCCCCAGGCAGCCTAGAGTCCCTAGCAAGAGCCAGACCTATCCCCAACATCCCAACTCTAGGGCGCCTGGGTGGCTCAGTAGGTTAAGCCGCTGCCTTCAGCTCAGGTCATGATCTCAGGGTCCTGGGATCGAGCCCCGCATCGGCCTCTCTGCTCAGTGGGGAGCCTGCTTCTCTCTCTCTCTCTCTCTCTCTCTCTGCCTGCCTCTCTGCCTACTTGTGATCTCTGTCAAAAAAAAATAAATAAAATCTTAAAAAAACAAAACAAAACATCCCAACTCTAGGCTTCCTCCCCAGGCCCCCAAGACCCACCAGCCCCGGGCTCAGCAGAATGAGCCCAGTGAGTGCCGGGGCTCCCAGTTTGGCTGCTGCTATGACAACGTGGCCTCTGCTGCTGGTCCTCTTGGGGAAGGCTGCGTGGGCCAGCCCAGCTACGGTGAGTGGGTGTTCCTCCATCCTTCCTGGTGATAGGCTCTGGTCCCCCTCGGCCCCCACACCTCTGCAGAGCCCCACCTGGAGCTTCCTACTAGCACAGTGATTCATTCATTTCTTCAGATATTTGCTGATCACTTACTAGGTGCTGGGTCAGAGAACAGTGCCACGTTGTTCTTGTTTCCCACAGTTTGCCCTTGAGACCACCTGTGAGAGTCGGGGAGAGCTGTAGGCAGGGCCCCCACAGAGAAGGAGGCTCGTCCTCTCCCCGCCCCCTCTAGCGGCAGAGGTGGAATGGTGGTCAGTGCCAGGATGGACAGGGGTGTCCCCACCCGGCCTGGGATGAGCCCTGGAGGGAGGTCACTGAGGCTGGACCACGGACTGTGTGGGCGGCACTGCCAGGGACTGTCATGGGGACTTCAAAAGCCAGATGGGCTGGTGGTCAGGGTCTGCAGGAGGCTGGGCCCCTGGGTGGGCTTCAAGCAGAGCCAGCCATGGTCACACAGGGAAGTGGCGTGGGCTCTGCTGGGGAGGTGGGCGGGTGAAGCAGGCAGGTGGGGGCAGCTGCGGTGGGTTCGAGGTCCAGGAGCAAAGGTGGGCCCGCACTGGGCATCTTCACAGATGTTCCTGGGAGCTGAGGGCTGGGTTCTCCTCCTGAGCTCAGCACGTCAAGGCCAAGCCCTTGGGCTGCTTGGGGCATGCACTCTGGTGCCCCGGGTCAGGCATGGGGAGGTGAGGGGCATGAGGGGGCCAGTCCAGGTTGCTCACGGCCCTGACCTTCTGGAGGGCTCTAGTTCTGTGGGTGGAGCCCAGTAGGTCTGGGCCGTGGGCAGACTTTGCCCCCAGGGCCAGGTGAGGAGCCCGGGCAGGGGTATAGACATGTTCCGTGAGCTGGGAAGGGCCTGGCTCCGAAGTCCAAGGCAGAGGGGATGGGGGGCCCTTGTGGGGGGTGCTCTGCTGGGCCACGTCCGCGGCTTGGTGACACTCACCCTTCTGGCCCCTCAGCCTACCCTGTGCGGTGCCTGCTGCCCAGCGCCCACGGCTCCTGCGTGGACTGGGCGGCCCGCTGGTACTTCGTCCCCTCTGTGGGCCGGTGTAACCGGTTCTGGTACGGCGGGTGCCACGGCAACGGCAATAACTTCGCCTCCGAGGAGGAGTGCATGAGCCGCTGCCGGGGGCCTCCCGCCGGGGCCCGCGGAGATGGTGGGGGCCGCGGTCCCGGGGGCCAGCAAGAAGCCAGATGGCAGAGGACGGGGGCGACGGTCCAGACGAAGCCCTTGCCTTCCGGTGGCGTCTCGTGGCGAGACCGAGAGCCTGGGCCGAGGGAGGAGTCCCACGCGCAGGCCTTTGGAGAGCGGCCTTGGCGCGGGGAGCTGGGGGCCAGCGCCCCTGGCCTGGGCGGAGATGCCGGGCGACCAGCGCCACCTTCCGGCAGCTCTTCCTACAGGTGAGGCCTCCACCCCCACCCCCACTCCACCCCTCCCCCCCCACCCCCGCCAGGGGCTGCACCTGTCGGAGCTAACACCCTGAGTCAGCAGCCCCCCCTCCCCCCCCACCTCAAGTCCTCCAGACAGCCCTGCGGGGAGGGCCTCGTTCCTGTCGTTGCACACATGGGGAAGCTGCCTTTGGAGACAGGAGACTTGCCAGCAGATGGTGGTGCCATCTTGGTCAGACCTCGCTCCTACACCCCAGGCCTGTGTAGTCGGGAAAGCTTGCAGGCTTCATGACCTCCGGCGAGTCCTCCAACTTCTCTAAGCCCCCGTTTCCTGACGTGTGAAATGGCGATGTTCTCTCAGGTTTACTGTGGGTTCCAGTCTTGGGACTGTGTCATGAGAGCTTTGGGGAGAGTAAAAACCAAATAAGTAAAACTTTACATTCCAAAGGGGTCAAGCATGTCATTTAGTTCCCCACAAGGACCTGGTGTGAGGGATCTCTTGGGGCCCCTCCATGCCCTGGGCTTTGCGCCCACCCTGCAGCTGTCACAGGACCAGGCTGAGGTAGCAACGTCCAAGGGCATGAGGGGTGGATGGAGAGGGGCATTCCCGAGGCCACTGGCTTCTGGAGCTTGGCCTCCTGGGAGATCCCCTGACCCCGACAGTGCTGGAGACAGGATGGATGCCAAGCCTCTGGGGTGGGGACTGATGGAGGGGAGTCCCCAGTCCTGCACTGAAGCCAGCAGCACAGGTCCTCCCCTCCGCCCTCCCCAGGATCAGCTTGGCCGGCCAGGAGCCATCCCTGGTACAGGCGGCCCCGGGGCAGTTGGTGCAGCTCGTCTGCCGAGGTGATGACACCTCCCTGGAGCCCCATGGCCAGTGGCAGAAAGACGGGCAGCCCGTCTCCTCCGACAGGTGTGTGTGTGGCAGCCCCCGATGTCCCCTGGAGTGGGAGGGTGCAAGCAGGGCTCCAGTCCCCTCCGGTAGGAGGGGGGGGGACCTCAGGCGGGCTGGGCTTGTTGTCGTCAGAAGCCAGAGCTCAGTCCCCCACCTCCTCACTCAGGCACAAGCTGCAGCCGGATGGCGCCCTGGTCATCAGTCCCCTGTGGGCAGAGGACGCTGGCATCTACAGCTGTGGTGGCAGCAGGACGGGTGGTGACTCTCAGAAGATCCAGCTTCGTGTCATAGGTCTGTCCTGTGCCCCACCCACAGGGGATTCCCATGGGCCCCAGGCGGGAGGCCGTGGCTGGGAGGGCCTGAGCCAGGGTGCGCCCGCTCTGGAGTGGCCCTTCCTGCCGGCAGGGACCCTGTGCTCCAGTTGGGCCCAGGTGGAGGTCTCACCCTTCGGGGCACTCATTTTTCCACATGTCCCCGGCCAGCTTCATGACCCCTCCCTTCCTTCCGCCACATTCTCTGCATGGCTCACCTCTTCTGGCCTCCTGACAGGGGGTGATGTGGCCGTGCTGTCTGAGGCTGAGCCAAGGCACTTCCCTCGGACCAGGGACCCAGCTCAGCGCCACAGTCCTTGGGATTCCAGCCTAGTGGGGGACAGAGGGGGCCCAGGGGCCGTCTCCTCCTTGCAACCTCGGCCCACGACCAGGTAACTCCAGCAGTGCCGTCCTGCTCTGGGCCTACCCCACTTGGAGGCCCAGGGGTGATGGGGGTCTTCGTGGTGAAAGGAGGGGGTGGGGTGGGGCACAGGGGTCTGCTCGGTGAGGATGAGAGAAATGAGGGGGAGCCCTCCGGCCCTCCCCAAACAGGTGAGGGGGATCTAAGGCCCAGGACCCAGGGGCTGAGGGAGGGGAAGTTCACCAGGAACTAGAGGGTCTGTGAGGCCTTGAAGGAAGTTTGTAGAAGGGTTGCAGAGGGCTGGAGGGCCCAAGTCAAGGACTGAGTAGCAGAGGTGCAGGGAGGTGACAGTCAAGATTCTGGGGCAGGGGTGGGGGCAGGCGGCAGGGAAGGCAGGAAAGTCCCAGGAGGTTGTGGTGGCGTCCTGACCCGAATGAAGCAGCTGTCAGGAAGCTGAATCTGGAAGGAGAGAAGGGGGCCTCGGGCTTGTGCAAAGGGTCCCCCTCATGGCTGTGGGGGGTGTGTTCTGCAGGCTGCTTCTGGACAGGAACCAGCCCGGGGTGGTGGACGCCCAACCAGGCCAGCGGGCCCGGCTGACCTGCCGTGCTGAGGGCTTCCCGCCCCCCGCCATTGAGTGGCAGAGAGATGGGCAGCCCCTCTCTTCCCCCAGGTTTGTGTTCAGCTCCTCTCTTAGTCCTCCTGTCCCACCGCCAGCCCCTGACCCCGTGCAGACCGTGGGGGAGGGAGTTGCCAGGTGCCACCTCTGTCAGTCCTGAGCAGGACCCAGTGGCTCATGAAAGATGCTGCGGGGCTGCAGTGCTCCTGGGGCCAACTGACCTTTGGGTTTCTGGGTCTTTTCAGTGGTGAGTGGGCAGGAGTAATGGGCCAGCTAAGGAGGGGTGATGGCTGAGGGACAAAACGGAGACAGACTCATTTCTGGCTGTAATCACAACAGCTGCCATGTACCCGTTATGAGCACGAGGCTTGTTCTCCGTGGTTCCCTCTGCCCAAGAGCCACCCTGAGGTAGGTGCGCTCTTATCCCTGTTTTACACACGGGCGCTTACCACCACAAAGCTCCTAAGGGGCAGAACCAAGATTTGGGCCTACTGAATGAGTACAGCGAGAACCACAAAACCACGCTGGAATTATTTCGTATCCGGAAGCTTGAAAGGATTTTTCTATTGCCAGGCTTCAAAGTCGGGCACCTCCAAGTACATGAGAGTGCCAGCAGCTGGAGGACCTCAGGGCCTAAGGTCAGATGGCCCTTTGCTCAGACCCCACGGAATAGTAGGGTCCACTCGGCCCTTCCCCAGGGAAAGGAAGACCCTGCCAGCCCCCTCGGGATGGAGACACCTGACTATGCTTTGTCCCTAGACACCAGCTGCAGCCCGATGGCTCTCTGGTCATCAGCCACGTGACTGTGGAAGACGGTGGCTTCTATGCCTGTGTCGCTTTCAACGGGCAGGACCGAGACCAGAGATGGGTCCAGCTCAGAGTTCTGGGTAAGGTGGCAGTCCTGAGCGGAAGGGTGAGTGGGGCTAGTGACCTCTGAGGTCAGGTGGCGCAGGTGGGACAGGATTAGCGAGTGGCTGACCATGCTTCCGCCTTGGGCCTAGGGGAGCTGACCATCGCAGAGCTGCCCTCCGCTATGATGGTGCCAGAGGGGGACACGGCCAGGCTGCTGTGCGTGGTGACAGGAGAAAGTGTGAACATCAGATGGTCCAGGTAAGGCTCTAGTCCACACCGGCCTGGCCCTCAGACCCACACCCCTGAGGCTGTCCCCTGAGGTGGCCCAGCTTTTGTAGGGATAGTGCGGTTCCCACCCTTCGTTCTTCAGCTCCTGCCTCCGGTGGGGGGGCCGCAGCACCCTCTTCCTGACAGCGAGGCCCCGTAGGACCGGTCTCTCTTGGTTGGGCTATACCAGGATTTCTCAACCTCGGCACTATTGATGTTTCAGGCTGGATAATTTTTTAAGATTTTACTTGAGAGTGAGTGAGCGGGTATCTAAGTCTTGTGGGGGTGGAGCAGGAGAGGGGGAAGCAGACTCCCCGCTGAGCAGGAAGCTGGGTGTGGGGCTCAGTCCCAGGAGCCCGGGATCGTGACCTGAGCCAAAGGCGGCCGCTTAACCCACTGAGGCACCCCGGTGTCCCGACTGGATAATTCCTGATTGTCAGGGCTGTGTTGTGGATTGTGAGGGGTTTGGCCGCATCCAGGCCGTCTCCCCACTTGATGCCAGCAGGACTCCCTCCCGTCATGACAAAGGACCATGTCTAGAGCCGGCGCACCCTGCCCGTGAGGTTGAGAACCCTGGGCTAGACTCCACTTTGGAGACTTCAGGGTGTTTTACTCCACGTTAGTTTCTCTTTTATCCATTCCCTCAGCAAACGTTTTTTTGCCCCCTTCCTCCTTGCCATGTGTCAGGAACTGCCCAGGCTCTGGGGCTCTTGGTGGGCCCTGAGCCCCCCAGACACCCCCAGGTAGGAGAGGGCCCAGTGTCCGCTGAGCTCTGGAGATCGGCCCTCAGTGCTGTCAGTGCCTGGAGGACGGCGCTGCCTCCTCTCTGGAGCCATCAAGGAAGGGGGGCCACACACGTGACTTTGTCTGGGCCCTGAAGGCTGAGGAGGGGAAGGCTGCTCCTGAACAAGCCTCAGAGGTGGGTGTTGGAGATGATGTCAGGCTGGGAAGGGGCCTGTGCAGCCGGGAGCCTCTGTAGGCTCCATGCAGGCCTGCCCTGACCGGGTCTGGCCTCCGCTGCTTCTAGCAGGCCTGTATCTTCTTCTTTGCTTCTGTTTGGTCTTCCTAGCAGCAAACATGTCCAGGATTCCCCGCTTCAAAGCAAAAATGAAAGCTACCCTGCTCTGACCCCCATGTACCCGCAGACTCTGGCCTCTTCTGGAGTCTCCCCCTCACAGCACGGCTTTTCGGACTGGTGGCCTCCACCTGCTCACCGCCCGACTCAGCGCAGCTCACATCACCCCCGCTTCAGGGACACTGCCCTGTGTCTGACGAATCTCAGCCCCACGTGACCTGCTCTTCCGCCGACCGCGACCGCGTGCACTTCCCGGCATGCTCCCTCTCCTCGGCTCCGGGAAACTCCTGTCCTCTGGCCTTCGCCCTCTTTCTTTGGTCACTGCTTCCGTGTTCCTGGCTGGCTCATCTCACACCAATCCCTCAGAGGCTGGTGCACCTCAGGGGCTGTCCGTGGTTCTTCATCTAACTTCACCTCGGGCAACATTTTTGGCACATGGCCTCCTGGGTCATGCAGTGCTGATACACTGGGTCTAGACCCCAAATCCATCACCTCCTGGTATCTCACGGGCACCCGAAATGCAAAATAGTGGAAAAGAGCCTTCACCATTCAGCCCTCTTCCCCACTCCGGATCTCCCCGTGGTGGAGAGGCGCCACTATTACCCAGCAACCCAAGCCCCGAACCTCTGTCATCCTTCATCTCTTGCCCCCCACCTCACAAATCAGACCCTCCCCCATGTATGCACTTCCCGGCTCTCTGCTTTCAGGTTTGTCCTTGACCCAGGAAGCGAGCCTTTCCAAGGACAGATACTTGGTCCGTCCTGCTTAGCTCACACCCCGCCATTCCCCGCTGTGCCCACTTCCCTCCCTGCTCTGACCATGGCCACCCCTTGAGCTTGTGAGTCCCCTTGTTCTCCCTTTCACCAGCCGGCTGCTCCTCCTCCTCCTCCTCAGGTCAGGGCTCAGCTAGGTCATCCTCAGGGAAGACCCCCTGAACACCTGTACCCTAGCCCAGTGCCCTCAAGACAGGGAGTGCTTATGTCCCTCACTGAGCACAGGGCCTGGCCTCATGGCTGCTTAAAAGAACTTAAAAAAAAATTATTAGAGAGAGAGATCACAAGGAGGCAGAGAGGCAGGCAGGAAGAGAGGGGGAAGCAGGCTCCTTGCTGAGCAGGGAGCCCGATGCGGGGCTCGATCCCAGGACTCTGAGACCATGACCTGAGCCGAAGTCAGAGGCTTAAGCTAACTGGGCCACCCACATGCCCCTTAAAAAACCTTTGTTGATGAGAAGTGAGAGCAGGGTTCCTTTGTGGATCAAGAGGCAGATTCACAATAACTTAGATCAGCGTGCTCAGAGTGAGTTCACCTCACTTTTGAGTGACTTTGCTTTGAGAATGTTCTTTTTGGCACCCTGACCCATCTGTTTCTTGAGGTGAGGGTCATCTGTCCACAACGATTACCTCCTCCCTTTGTCTCCTCGTGGGCCCTGGCCGGCTCTCCCAGCGTCCTCTCCCCCCCAGGAATGGACTGCCGGTGCAGGCCGACGGGCATCGCGTCTACCAGTCCCCAGATGGCACCCTGCTGATCCACAACCTGCAGGCCAGAGACGAGGGCTCGTACACGTGCAGCGCCTACCGTGGAAGCCAGGCAGTGAGCCGCAGCACCGACGTGAGGGTGGTCCCGCCGGGTAAGGGGCTTACCCCAGGGCCTTGCTCGTTCCTGAGAGCTGGGTTTGTGCTGCACGGGGCGGGGAGGGCAGGCTCTGCGGTCTGGGGGACCCTAGCAAGAGTCCTGACTCACTCTGCCAGTTCCTGGGAGCGTCACCTGTGGCAAGGGGCTCAACCTTCCTGAGCCTCCCTCCTCCCCGGTGCAGCAGGCAACCTCACCGCCTGGGAGAGCTGTGGCAAGGGTGAAGGAGATGGTGCGGAGGGAGGCATCTGGTAACAACAGGTGATGTCAAATATCACTCAGACTTACTGATTCCGAGAAAATAGGATTGACTGGAATTTCATTATAGTACTTTTAAGGCGGAGAGGCTGTTAAATGCGTCCATTCTAATCAGTGGCAAAAAACGGTCCTAAGATTGAAAAGTGCCTTTATGGCTCTTTGACCATGTAACCCAGAAAGGGCAGGGATTAGTGTCCCCATCTTACAAATGAGGCAGATATCCAGAGACCGTATGTGGTGTTTCTGTAAGCCATACAGCAAACGAGGGGCTAAGCTGGGACTAGACCCTAGTCCTCATATTTACTATTCTTTTCCTTAAATGATTATACCAGTAACTGGCAGAATGTTACTTGCATCATTCAGCAGTTTGTGTTCTCCAGCTCTTGCTCAGAGTTGAATATTAGTGCACCTAAGGCCCATGTTGCAAAGCGGTGTCATACCACTAAGAAAAAAATGCTGCTCCCACTGTTCAATGACACAGTGCTGAGACACCATCCATGCAGATGCAGTCCAATTTGAGGTGTTAAAATGGGAAAATCTGCACATCTCAAAATCGGTCAGGTAGACTGTAGTTTAATGTTGGATTCACAAGGGCTGTAAGGTTAAGTCAGAGGGCCAGGGGAAGGGGAAGGCCTGCCCTCCGCCTAGTCTGCCCTTTCATGGGTCCTTGGTCTGGACCCACGGACTGACCAGCAGGGCAGAGCCCCAGGCTGAGCCGCCAGCTCTCGTGAGGCCTGAAGCGGACTTTTCAGGAGGGCCTCTCCGGTGCTGTCTGCCCGGATGCTCACAGCGGTCAGGGCCCTGGCACCGCCCCAGGAGAGCTGCTCCCGCCCCGGGGTTCTGAGGTTGCTATGCTGCAGGTGGGGAGTGGCCTTCAGCTAGAGGCAGAAAGTCCGCTTAGTGAATCAGACTGACATGCAGGCTTCCAGTTTCTGAGCTGCTTAGGACAGCCCCTGGGACAGGGCTAGGTGCTCAGGCTTGGTGACGAGTGCAGGGGCGCAGGAAGGCCTGACCTTCACTAAAGTGCTAGACCGCCGGGGCCGGTTTTCTCTCCTCCCTGCCCAGCAGATTGATCTCTTGTCTACAAACCAACCGGACTTAACGAGACCCGAGACAAGCTGGAACGCAGGCTAGTGTGAGAAAGAGCTGTCAGAGGACCCAAGTGTTCGTGTTTGTGACTCACTGCAGACACGTCTACATGGGAAATTATAATCAGAAACCCATCTGACAGCAAAGTCTGGTGGGGCGTCTGCTGATGTGTGGTTGCACGCTGCAGTGTCTGGCTTGGGCTGCCTCCTGGACAGGACACCTTTCTGCTGGGGGAGTGTTGCTCCTCTCCTATTTTGCGGGCACCTTACTTGACTAGAAGCTGTCTCGCCCCTCTCTGTATTCATTTTGTTGATTATGCTTTCTGTAGGGTCTCACTGCTTGAGGCCGCCTCCCTGTGCCCGATCCGTGGTCTGGTGGCATACTGGAATTAGCGTGAGTGTCCAGGTAGCAGGCCTTGAGTTAGTCACGCTCTGGTGTAAGGGACATGCTTCTGTTGAGGATTTCTCAACCTTCTTGCCTAGAAGACCCGGGTGAGAAACAGAAAACACCGGAGGGAAAAAACAGAGGCTTGCTCCTTTTCTGAAGGAGAGGGAGTGGGGCTAGCACAGCACAGTTCAGCACTCAAATTCTAGCCACAGTCACTGTGCGCCCAAGGAGCTGTTCCCGTCTCCACTCGGGCAGAGAGCTGGAGTCACTGGCCCAAAGTCACCCCGCTGGGAAGCAGGAAAGCCAGGACCGAGCTCAGGCGGTCTGGCTCCAGAGCTGCTGTGTTTCCTCACGGTGCTAGGCACCGACCCTCGGGCCCTTGACAGGCCCCAGGGCTGCAACTGCTGAGAGCAAGTCAATACCAAAGTTACTGATTTTTTTTTTTAATGTATAAATGGCTTGATATTTATATAAATGTGGGTACGATTGACTCCTGAGGAACGTCTGTGCAGTCAAATCCACATAAAACTTTGACCCCCCAAAACTTTACTAACAGCCTGTTGACTAAAGCCCTACTGGTAAGTTAGCATGGACTGTATCTGTATTACATACTGTGTCCCCAGCAAAGTAAGCTAGACGAATGTTAAAAAATCCTAAGGAAAATACATTTACAGTATTGTACAGTATTTAGTGAAAAAAAAAAAATGTGGACCCGCACAATTCAAACCCGTTGTTTAAAGGCGGGCTTAGTACTCTCATTATACTGATATCCCAGATCTGTATGAAATCAGGTACTGAGACCACCCAGGTATGATCTTCTTGTATTCTGGGAGAAAGCAGGGGGAGAGGAGATGAAGATCAGCCCCATGAGGCCTGACTTTAGGGAAGGTGCTATTCAGGCCTAACCCAGCTGAGTCAGAAGAGCCCCTTCCAGAAAGAAAACGGAAATTAACCAGATGAGGCCACTTCAGTCCCAAGATGAAGCAGTGGGATAAAACTCAGAATTTTCTTTTTTTCCACTTTTTTTTCGCTGACCCGGAGATTGGGAGTCCCTTGCTCTACAGCCCTAACTCGCCAGGCGCCTCTCTCACGAGGGTTTTTAAGGCACCAAAGCTAGCACATTCAGAGGGGGCGGTTAGAACCATGGCTCCTAAGGCTGTTCTCTTCATCACCTTGTCTAAGAGCTCGCTGGCTCTCTCTGGGGGAAGTGGGAGGACTGGGAAGATGGGGAACCAAGTGAGGAGATAAACTGGGGCTGCCGAAGCCACAAACCCTTTAAGGTTAGAGGGAATCAGCAACGAGAGGAAGGAGACAGCTCTAGCCCAACTCCATCTTACTTAGGGCGGATGCCCCGCCTTTCCTTGCCAGTCCAAGGGCGAAGGCAATCGTCATCCAGCTCTGCAGGTCACAAGCTCGAGGACAGGGAGTTAACTTCGAGGGATGAGTCATCACGTGGAGTCAAGGTTTGAGAGTCGGTCCTGGGCTGAGGCTGCAGGACCCCGGCCTGTCCCGTGAGGCCCACGGCCGCGGGCTGCACAGAGGTGTTAAGAGTACAGAGCGACTGTGCTTTTTGGAAACCTGGCGTTCCTACTGTTGCTTTCCTTTTAAGGCAAAGAAAGGGCAGGTGGGACTTCTCAGCCTCCACAGCTTCCTTACCCCTCTCTCCCCCGTCGCTTCTTTCCACAGCGCTGCCCGGCCAGCCCGGGGCCCTCGGAAGGGAGTGTGTGGACCAGCCCGAGCTCGCCAACTGCGAGCTGATCCTGAAGGCCCAGCTCTGCGGCAACGAGTATTACTCCAGCTTCTGCTGCGCCAGCTGCTCCCGCTTCCAGCCTCCCGCTCAGCCTGTCTGGCAGCAGGGATGAAGGCTGGCCACGGGCCCGGTCCTGAAGCAGCCCTCGGCCTGTGGCCTCTGGCTGGCAAAGGGCTCTGTCCTTTAGAGAAGGGGCCCTTTCAGGCCGCCCGCCTGGCCAGCACCCACCTGGAGCTCCGCTGCCACAGGCAGCTGTCAAGAGGCATCTGCTTGGAGAAGACCACCCTTTCCGGCCTCCTCCCTCATTTCTGTCCTGCAGGATCCGTTCACGGGGTTCTAAAGAAAGTTACCAGGGTTCTCAATTCATTGAAAGCTGGGTGGGGAGGTGTGGAAGGGTTTGGAAGGTACCATGTATCTCCCGGGCACACTAACTCCTGCCGGGTCAGGCCATTTCTCTTTGCTAGAAGGCCCTCGCACGTAGGGTCCACTGCTCCGGTTGCGCTCACCCTCCTGGGCAGGCAGCTTCAAGCCCCCGTGCGGCCAGTTAACGGCGCGCTTGTGAGCGCTCCTGCCAAGGTGCAGCATGGCACATGCGGCCAGGACGGGGATGGGGCGAAGGAGCAGCAGCTGGTGCCGTCAGCACGGCCGAACTGGGAGCAGCGCCTTACTTCCCTTCGGAAAGCTCCCCCTCCGGAGGCCGACGCGCAGAGCCTGGCTGTGAGGGTCATCTCACCCCGCATCGAGCTGACCCGCTCTGCGCAGTGACCAGCAGAACCAGACCATTAAAAACTGGCACTGGCAGGACGGGGAGAGAAGGGGAAGGCACTGCATGAACAACGAAGTGGCTTCAGAAATGGCTGGAGGTCTCAGAACCTCCCGTTCCTCGATGCTGCTAGACGAGAGGCCTGGATTCAGCGAGCTTCCAGGTCCCTTTCCACTTTAACCTTCTACATATCCTCCAGAGGACCGGCTGGACCTGACAGGTTATTCCGGGACATAGGAAAGGCAGGCATTACAGGGAAAGCTTACTTTTATTACCACCACACTGGCTGGAAAAGAGAAACTGCATCATGGGTGAGTGACACTTCTTGGTCTACCTCTCAGTCAACACAGGAAACGTGGATGAGGGGCAGAGGCATTTTTTTTCTTTCCACTTAAAAAAAAAAAAAAATGAAAGGAGGATCCCCTTTCATTTACCATGGCTAGTTTTGCTATACAAACTGGAAACTAAGGGCTACTTTCTTGGACTCCCCAGTTCTCCCCAACTGGCAACATCATTCAGAAGTTAAGTTCCAGGGTAGCTAGCTCTTCTCAGAACTAGTCACAGAATACTAGGCTAAGGTTATGGCAAAGAGTAACACTAACAAGCTGGACCAGTGGTTCTCAACCCTCTTCCATATTGGGAGCTTTTTTTTTTTTTTTGGTTAAAAAAAAACTTGGGGATCCCCCCACCACCCTGATTTATTGGCCTGGAGTAGGGACCAGGGTGAGGATTTAAAAAGCTCCTCAGGTGATTGTAGTATGTATCCAAGGCTGAGACTCACCACTCCAGCAGGGCCTTTCAGGTGAACCTTGTTCCAGGGTATTTTCTGACGACTAGGCTGGGGGTGGAGAGAGTGGGGCTGAGATTCTGTACCTCTACTCAGCTCCTAGGTGCAGTCCAAGCTCCTGTTTCAGAACACAATCTGAGCAGCAAGAGTCTGACACCAGAGATATGCGTAGATCAACCGAAGCCTTAAGTATAAACACAAAAGTGAATTTTAAGAATATTCCAGTCCTGATGGGCAAAACAGATGAAGGGGATTAATCCAGAGGTACAATCTTCCAGTTGGGAGTCACGGAGAGGAAAAGTCTAACGCAGGGAATATGGTCAATAATACTGTAACAGCACGTGTGGTGACAGATGGTGATCACACTCGGTGAGCGCTGTGTGATGTACAAACTGCTGGATCGGTATGTTGTGCACCTGAAACTAACACTGTGTGCCAATTACACTTCAATAAACAAAGTACACTAGTCCCAATACAGGATCTTCTAGCCACCAAACCAGAGTTCTGTAGCAGCCGCCGAATAGCGGAACAGACCACAAAGAACTAAAAGGCAACATATTTGCTGATAAAGAAAAGGGGAAAGACCAGCCCTTCATGGGCAAAAGCTTCTACCACGAACATTTATTTTTGTTAAAGCAGATTATAAATTCTCATCAGTACAAATATATATAACTTACATTTGATTGTAAGGCCAACGTTCAAAAGTGAAAATGAGATGGGATCTCATGTTGTTACCAGAGGTCAAGAGGCCGCAGCTGGCAACGGATGCTCACCACAGGTTTCGCGGGGGTGGGGGTGGGGGTGGGGCACACGGCTAATGAAACTACAGTCTCCATCCCCACGAAACTCCTGGGGACAAAACGTAAAGGACAAAACAAAACCCACCAAGACCCACATGACAAACCAACACAGTAACCTGCGCTCCCATCAATGGACGTGATTATGTCATTGTCACCTTAGTGTTAAGTAGAGGACTAACATCACCTGCAGCAGTACGGAAAAGAAAATACATATTCTCTATAGAGTGTACTTAGATTGAGTCCATTAAAATAATGACATTAGAATTTCACCACAGGTTCAAGACCAGGACAATACTGCTCTTTCATTTCTTTAAGACTATAACCTAGTGACTGGATTGGTCATACGCGTGCTGGTTGCTGCAATGTGCTACTTACAATGAATGACACCAAGTAAGCTAGGATCCCATCTGTACCTCCCTACCTTTCCTCTCTCTGCTTCGATAGGCATCACTGATAAATCAATCTTATGTACAATTTCTTACAGCTAACCCTTTTACCTTTGGCAAGATTACTTACAACTCATACAACTTTTTAATATTGAGAACTATTTAAAATATTCTAAATGCATAAAAATAAAGATTTTGGCTTTTTTTTGATATATATTTATAATATTTATTCTTACTCAAAGTGGAAGCTCAACTTTGCCCCTAAAATATAGCTCTGTTGGGCAGCTGCTGATGTGCCCTCCTGGGAATTCTGGTGGCACAGCCTGCCTTTCGTCCCCAGCCCAAGCACAGGCCACCACGTTCCTGACCTGACAGGCCAGTACTGAGAGGCGGCACGTGAATGGCCTGAAAAACAAAGGGAGATTGTTTTGCTTCCCGTTGTGTTTTATATTCCAGTAAATGTGCTTTGAATACAAATTCCTGTTCAGATACTTATGCCTCTCTGTTGCCAGAGATTTGTAAGGGGCTGAGGGAGAAAGAAGGGGACAGAGGGCAACATTTCTTTGACTTCTTTAGCCTAACTGCAAGACAACTCTTCTCTAGGAATGTTTTTTCAATTTTTTTTTAAAAAATCACCTTTCCTAGCACACTCTGCCTGGACATGCTCCTTGGGACCTTTGGGATTAGTGAAAAGTATACTGATTGGGAACACAAAGTTCCCTTTGCTCCTTTGACCTCTGCCCCTGCCCTTGCTTAAGTACAGACAAAATACGTAAGCCACAGAGATAGCTTAAAGTTCAATTTCAAACGTCTTCTGTAAATCGCTGGAGAAAGGATTGGTGGGAGAGGGGTTAGTGCGCTGCTTGGACTTGCTTTCTAATGCAGCCCACTGGGCTTCGAAAGGATCCACGGGGCAGGTGCCCGCCGGAACCTCTGTGTGCTTATCTCCGGAGGCCAACCTGCCTTCGTCTACGCCATTGAAAGCTGCAGAACCATTGAGATGCTGAGCAGGCGGCTTAAAGAAGGGACTGGCAGTAGCACCGCTCGTCTCATACTGAGGGAATGTCTGCTGCTTGACCAGGCTGGGAGACTGATGGGGGTGGGTAGCCTGAGGGTGGCCTGCAGTGCCAAACACGTTGGCTACCATCTGGGAGGGAGTGATGCCCACCACAGGCACATTAGGGGCTGGATAGGGCATCCCATTGGCCACAGGATAGGACTGGGCAGGGACAAAGGCTGGCTGCAGGGGTGGGCCCACACCCACTGGCACAGGCTGAGAGGCGAGGAATGCATGCCCTTGGAAAGGCGGCACCGGCTGGGTCATGGCAGTGGGTGGAGGAGGCTGGAGAACTGGCTGCAGCGCAGCGGTGGAGGCCTGGGGCTGCTGAGCCCGGACGCTCTTGGACACCTCTTCTAACCATCGGTCAGCTTCAGAGGGTGTGCGTCTGTGACCAGCCTGGAAGAGACCTGGAGATGCAGCACCAGAAGACTGACCCCACTCGGTCCCTGGGAACAAACACGATGGAGAGAGACAAAAGAATCAATCTTTAGGGGCTTCTTTCCTTACCTGGCAACCTTGGTTACCTGACTGATCCTAATATGTGGATACTTCGTGGTTCTGCCCGGTGGGAGAAAAGTCTCTTTAACCAGCTAAGGAGGTATTGTTTTAGGACAAAGGGAACGTGTCAGACCATGCTGCTGTCTCAGCCATGCAGAGGAACTGTCTAGATCGGGCTCGACTGCATGCAACGAAGGCAACTGGCTGGCATCAGAAACCCTTTCCTACTGCCGCACTTACTCCATGGCCCAGAGACCAGCTTGCACATGCTCTACAGGGCCCAAGGTGATTCATCTTCTGCTCTAACAGAATAAAAATAACCAGTGACTTGGCCATATGCCTCACGGCCCCTGTCTCACTTCAAGACACATTTTATCCTTCAGGTGAACTGCCTTCATTACTATTTAAAATTTGTTCTAAAAAAAAAAATTTTTGTTCTGATTTTACAGTTAACAAATGTTCACTATAGGAAAACTGGGAAGTACAGAAAAGCAAAAATGAAGTACTTTTGGCAGCCCTTTCTGTAGGCCTGCCACCATAAGAAGTGGGGTTCCCAACTGCTACAGGCATGTCCACACATACCCAAATTCAGTGGTTGCCTCAGGGTAGGGCACAGGAATCTGTATTTTATGAAAGCTCTAGGGGTTGGCTCTATTTCGTAGCCCTAAGAACTACTGAATCTAATCTCTGGAGTTTGTCTCCTTCAACATCTATTTCTGGGGGGGATCATACTGTTCCTGAAAGGATTCCTCCCTGGTTCCCACTCAGGTAAATGGCTGATTCCTGAATAGGCGTCACTCATCTGATCCCAGAATCCTCTCCACCATCCATGGCCACCTTACCCGAATGTGTGGCTGCAATTCCCTTGTTAGCAGCATCAGGGGCATGGGCCCAAGGGTTGGTTTCACGCACAGGCATTGCTACGGGTGCTAGAGCGGTATGGGCTGGCTTAGCAGCAAGCACATGGAAGGCTGAGTCAGTGCCATTAGCTACAATGGGAGCAGACAACATCGATGGAGTTAATTCATGCAGGGTGGACGGGCGACCCCCGGGAGCTGGGTCAGTCAGGCCAATGTGCGATACTGGTGGAACAAATAAGACAGAAAAGTTGATGTTGCGATAACCATGCCATCTTGCAATGGGTACACAAACCTTTTGGCGAAGAGGGAATTAGAAGTTGTAATTAAGATAGCTACACTGGGGGCACCTGGGTGGCTCAGTGGGTTAAGCCTCTGCCTTCGGCTCAGGTCATGATCTCTGGGTCCTAGGATTGAGTCCCGCATTGGGGGGGGGTGGGGCCTCTGCTCAGCAGGGGGCCTGCTTCCCCCTCCCCTCTGCCTGCCTCTGCCTACTTGTGATCTCTCTCTCTCTCTGTCAAATAAGTAAATAAAATCTTAAAAAAAAATAAAAAATAAATTAGCTACACTGATTTAAAAAAACAAAAAAAAAAGTCAAACGACCGTTCTAGGAAAATATGTGTACAAGGGGAGAGGGAATGAAACCTAGAAAAACAATTTCTAATTAAGCTGAACAAAGCTGCTTTGTCTAACAAGCAGCAAAAATCTATTCCAGATATAGCTTGGCCTTTGGTATACTGATGTAGATAAAGCATTTCCTTCTCCTACCACTCTTCCAAAAGTTCAAATGATGCCAACAATAACAATGGGTTAAATATAATGATCCCTTATGATCATTAATATACTTCATTAACATTACTTGAGAATGCATCATCCTATCTAATTCTCTCAAAAACCCCCTAAGGCTCGTATACTCATGCTATAAATGAGAGATCAAACTTGGTATATGTTTTCATTTGGTTAATAAATTTATAATTCCCTACAGAATTAATCTCATCTTTTTTGAAGATTTCCCCCCTCAGTAATGTTCATAATATCTCAAAGTACTATTATTCTTTCCTCTCTCTCTATTAAAATCTCTTAACCTTTGGCCCTTTACTCCAGATATCTTTTCCAAGAGTTTCTGTTCCTTAGCCCAGCTCTCTATCGTATTTAATACAGAGCAGACACGCAGGCACTGTTCCCTGCCCTTTGCTTTTAATCACTCCCTCTTTAAGACCAGGCAACCATGCTTACAGCATTGGTACTATTTACCCCAGGGCTTGTCTGAAAGACTAGCTCATTCACAGACCGGTAGTTCCTTAAAGGCAGGGAAGACTATGTTCTGTTCAGTTCTGTATATCCCACTGTAAACAGGCACAGAGGCAGCAGAATGTAACAGGTAGGATATTCAGAGAGACCTGGGTTTGAATCCTGGATGTGCAATTTGGGCAATTTACACAATCTCTCTGAGCCTCATTTTCCTTATCTGTAATGCTTACCTCAAAGGGTTGTTGTGGAGATTAAATGAGGTGAGAAAATGCATGAGTCCTTACCAAGATGTGGCAGCCACAGTGCTAATAAGCGCTCAACAAATTGTGCCTACTATAGGTATTATAAATATTTGTTATATGAAATGAAAAGCCATTTGGTGCTCATGATTATAATGGACATTTTTTTTTTCTTTTTGTTATTAAAAAGAGACTCTGAAGGAAAGCATGTAGTAGCTTCCTCTGGTAGGAACAGGGTACTGTCTCCAACAGCAAAACTTCTTCTGGGGGCACTCGGGTGGCTCCGTGGCTTAAAGCCTCTGCCTTCAGCTCGGGTCATGGTCTCAGGGTCCTGGGATCGAGGCCTGCGTAGGGTTCTCTGCTCATCAGGGAGCCTGCTTCTCCCTCTCTCTCTTTGCCTGCCTCTCTGCCTACTTGTGATCTGTCAAATAAATAAGTAAAATTAAAAAAAACAAACTTCTGAGCTCTTTCTCAAAAGAAATAAAGAAATGGTGATTATAAGAGTTCAAATTCTAAAAGTCTGTAATTTAAATTATATGTAGACTCTTTGCGGACTTCAGAGTCAAAACCAGCTATTAACTCGGCATCTATGAAAACAACTTTTAGTAACTCTTCAATGCCTTTACAAAGGCAAGTTTTAGGACACTTGTTATAGAAGATGAACTAAAGAGCCAGAAGAAGTGCCTTTTTCTTTAACAGCCTCTTGTGACAGGAGGAAGATGAGGTGAGTCCAGGGCTTCTCAGCCTTGGCACCACTGCCCATTTGGGCCAGATGACTGATTTCCTTGTCACGAGGGCAGCTATTGGGCACACTGAAGGATGTTTAGTACCATCCTCAGCCTCTATGCAGATGACAGTAGCAACCACCCCTTCCAGGTTGTCACACCCAAGAATGTCACCAGTGAATGCCAAATCTTCCCTGAAGGGAGTAAATTCGCCCCGGGTTGAGAACTACTCTGCTAAGAACGCATACGCTGTGTGGCGCCTGAGTGGCTTAGTTGGTTAAGCGTCTGCCTTCTGCTCGGGTCAAGATCCCGGGGTTCTGGGACTGAGCCCCGCATCAGGCTTCTTGCTCAGCAGGGAGCCTGCTTCTCCATCTGCTGCCACTCCTCCTGCTTGTGCTCTCTGACAAATAAATAAAATCTTTAAAAAATTAAAGAAAAGATATACACTGGAACCAACTCTGATGACTGCTGCTTCTAGAGAGCTAGCTGGAAACTCTTAACGGTTAAGTGGCAAATAAAGCAGGGTGTGGGGGACTACAAAAGCTCCTAACAGAAGGGGATCAAAGATGATAGGTACATGCAGAATGATGAATGCAGACATTTTAGGAAACAGGACTGGGACAGAGAACAAAGACATTGTGGAACAGGGAAATTAAGGCATCTGAGACATCATCAGACAGGGAAATTAATGGGTCTGACCAGCTCTTGGGAAGCTCAGAGTGCCAACCAGCAGTCAGTGAGCTGTGCCATAGAAGTACAAGCTTCAAGGAGAACTGAGCGGGCCAAGAAGGTACCAACCTTGAAAGGCAGGAGACTGCGGTGCTATCACGGTCCCTGGTTTGGTCATTGGGGCAGATGAGAAGGGATCCTCGGAGGGTGTGCTGAAGGCATTGGTGATCTGTGAGCACAGGGAGCTGATACTCTCTGCCTCTCCTTCTACTTCTGGCACTGCAAGGCAAACAAAAAATGGCTCCAGACAGGAAAACTGAATAATTCTAAAATAAAATAGTATGACACTAGGTGGCATTTTTATAATGCATCCCTTATTTGTGAAAGAAAAGTCTCAACTGTCAAGTGGGACTATAAAAATGGCTTTAAAAATTGATATAAAGGGGTGCCTGGGTGGCTCAGTGGGTTAAAGCCTCTGCCTTCGGCTCGGGTCATGGTCTCAGGGTCGGGGGATCGAGCCCCGCATCGGGCTCTCTGCTCTCTGCTTGGTGGGGAGCCTGCTTCCCCCCGCTTCTCTGCCTGCCTCTCTGCCTTCTTGTGATCTCTGTCTGTCAAATAAATAAATAAAATCTTCAAAAAATTTGATATAAACTGTCAACAATTCATGTACTAAGGACTATCTTCCTCCCTGCCAATCCCCAGACTTCTTTATATCCTTTCCTGTGTGAAACTACTTAGAACTTGGTGTTCTCTTTTTCTGCCAGTTAGATCTTTCTGGAAGACATCTCCAACCTGTTTGTCTCCCAACTAGTTCCCAAGGTCTGGGTACAGTTCTGGAGCCACTTAGTAACTCTATCAGGAAATGGATTAAAGTCAGGGGCAGCAGTGCAGCTCTTTTTTTCTGTAAGAAGCTACGACCGTGTCATCAGTCTTTTTCCCAAAGTTGCAAGTATAGGGGCACCTGGCTGGCTAAGTCAGTTAAATGTCCAAGTCTTGGTTTCAGCTCATGATCTCAGGGATGTGAGACTGAACCCTGCATCAGGCTCCATGCTGGGCATGGAACCTGCTTAAGATTCTCTCTCTCCCTCTCTCTTTAACCCCTTCTCTCACCTCCCCACCCCCTGCTGTAAAAACAAAAACAAAAAACACCAAAGTAGCAAGTATATGAACTCTGATAACATGAAAAAGCAAACTGGGGTCCAGGACTCCAGAGGCTTCATTCTTAATAATGACTCTGGGATACTTCTACATCACTGGAGAAGCTGATAATATGTGAACCTTTCTTTCACTCAGCTATGAAAAAAATGAATGCTTTTTGTTTCCCATCTGCTCCAGAGGAGAACTGAAGACGAGGTCCTGAAAGCATCTGGAGTTTCTGTGTTTACAGGAGCTGAGAGCTGGAAAGACCCTCAGTAATCATCTAGCCAACTGTTGGGTAGGTCTAGTTTCAACAGTCAAAAAAAACTGAACTCTCTGAACTTTTATATATCACCAGTGGGAGTGTCTTAGGGAAACACACCTTCCTTATATCCTGTTATGGCACTGGCTCAACATGTCTCAGAGCAAAGTTAAAAAGAGCCCAAAAAAGCACTGACCAGATCTGACACTTTAGCTCCGGATCTTATGATGAGGATAGAGCTACCAGGGCTGGCTCAGCTGTACAGGGGCCACACAAAGGCCTGTGTGGCAGTTCTGAAAGGTAATGGATATGTGTGAGCAAGCCCACTGTCTCTGATGAACAACAGATTTTCGATTTAAACAGGAAACCCGTTTAAAGTTTCCTCTGTATGGAGCCAACGAGCCACAAAGACAATGAGCACTTATCCATTTCTTCTGGTACATCTGACAGTAATACCATTTGAAGAGATGTGTTTCCAAAGCCTTTTAAATTAATTCTCTGTTGGGTCCCAAATGGTACAGTAAGAACGGAAACCCTTGATGTTTGGAAGTAGATTGGCTGAGAGGTAGTGTACTTCCATCAGGACAAACTGCAAGCCTTGCAGCTCGGTCCACGAACTCCCATCATGGCTCTGTCACCTATTTGTTGAAGAGAAATGAACAATTCACGTTCCCCTGCATGAACCTTAGTAGTCTCCTAGGGGGTAATGACACAAGATACATATAACCAGCAACCGGCTTCAGAGTGAGAGGGGTGGCTAGCCTGACGGGATTAGTGTCTCCACCGGAAGTGATGATAACGCTTCTGTGCTGGAGCACCAGTGAGTCAGGCAGATGCTGCATTACCTGCATTTTTTATGGGGAAATCAGTCTTCCTCTGCATAGTGGAAGGCAACTCGTTGATGCGCAGGGAGAGCTGGCGTTTAAAGGGTGACATCTTCTGGCTAAGAGCAGGAAATCCTCGGAAAGAGCCTTGGCGAGCAAGTTGTTCAATGGGTGCGTGCCGGCGTGGGATGGCATGAGGATTGTTCGTCTCCAGGGAGGCAGTGGCATCCGAAGTGGGAGAGGTGGGAGAGGACGGGGATGGGGCAGTATTGCCAGGGGCCACTGATGAACCAACAACTGTCTTATCTGTTTCAGCTCAAGAAAGTCAAGAGAAAGAGGACCTTAGCAGTCTTCAAATAATTCCAGCTTATACAGTGGAGGAACTCCAAACCCTCCTAGGTCCTTTTACCTAACTCCTTCCCAATGTGTCTCTTAAAGGACAGGTTAAAAGCAGCGCTCAGATCTCCTACATCTCAGACAAATAAAATGTTTAATATCCTACTACATGTCATGGCATACCTACTAAGACACAAATATTAGATCTTTGATTCTCATGCAGGGATTCGTAACTTAAGACTTGAAGACTGACCAAGATTAAAAACAAAACAAAACAAAATAACCCAGCACCTATGAACTCCTATGTGAGGTCCTTTAAAGAACGATGATTCATAGTTTTCAATGCTTGTTCACTTGCTTTTTGGGGGAGAGAGGACTCTGGGAGTGCCAGGGACAGAAAGGTCCAAGCAAGTGTTAGTTAGATTAGATGTTAAAGAATGTCATAAAGCAGTCTTTTTAAAATCATAAATAATGTGCATCTGTGGCTCATCAGAATAAAAGCATACAGGAGCAAAATTTTAAGCTGGATTACACCTAAATACATAACCATCTCCACGTGAGCACCAGCTGAGTCCCATTCTGGTGGTGGTGAATCTCTGTCCGCCTCCGCCCGTAATCCTCTAGACGCTAGGACTCAACCACTTCAGCAGGTGCTGTGTGTACCGAGGAGGAGTATTTGGTGTTATTAAAGAATACGCTCCCAGTCTGAAAAATCACTGAAGCCCACTAAATAATAGCTATACATACTAAAATTTCTGTTAAGAATAGCATGGTGTTTTTTATTCTTTGGTATCTGGTACAAATGTAATGTTTATAAGACATTTTAAAAAATCATAATCAAGAATTTAATTTCAAATAAAATATATATATATATATTTTTTCTGGCTTAAGAATTAGAGTTGTTTGAGTCAGTAGTAGACTAATGGTATTCTCTAAAATGGCTGGTTTAGAACTAAAAAGAGTAAAAAATGAGCAAGTTTTTATTAATGTAATATTTAAACTGAATGGTTTAATTCCAAAACATTCCTCGTCGGTTTCAACTCTAGCTGTACACAAGAATGCGCAGCATTTTTCCTAAGCCCTATCACTTAGTTCTACAATACACTCAAACCCGACTTTGGACAACAGACTCCTGAGTAACTTGCACAGGCATTTCTGCTATGCTGCCATGTGTACCTGAAAAAAATTCACCAACTCTGCAAAAATCACACACTAAAGTTAACAGAGGCTTTGGGAAGAAGATAGGTTAGCTTCTCAAAATCTATGGACTTTTCTCACTAAAGCACTAAAACACAGCTTTCATCTAATACGAAGTGCACGGCTGTGAACTCTCTGCCTGCCCGCACCCAGCATCACCATCAGCAGGCCCCTTGTAGCCTGAACCTGGAATCTGCACTTCCTCCTTCAAGATGTAGGTTGTCGGTAGCGTTTGCTTCTCAGAGAGATCAGATGCATCAGAATTAGAAGTCTGTCCTAGGATGTGGATTTCCCCAATTTTGTTTTCAAACAGGGGGGTAACAGAAGGTTTAAAAAACCTTTTTAGAGTTATAGTACTGATAGCTACAAATTAGCCTGAACCACAAATAAGTCTGTTTGTACACAAGGCAAAATGTTAGGGACTCCAGCTTAAAATTATAATTTAATATATAATTTAATATATCACTGTGGCAAATTAAATGAATAAATTATCCTAAGTAATGCTTATGATACTTCATTGTAGTGGGCACTGTGCTTTTGTGAGCAGCCCCTGAGACCTCCTTATCAGCCAGGCTCCCTCAATGTAGCTTCTTCAAATGTCCTCTCAGCCTCCTCCCCAGCTTCTGGTAATGGAAATAGTAAACACCTCAGAAGCCACAAAACAAGCCACTCTAATGGAAAGGCCTTTGTTTAGGTTTTCAGCTTTATTCTGAAGGTCTTCATATATTACTAAAGTTCTCTGACTGTGAGAAAGCTTACCCCTGCGAGCTTCCAAATGTTAACTTGCATAAATGCAAATTGTAGCAGAACCGACTGTACCTTTCTTGGCGTCTTGGATTTGTTTCATAATCTCCTCTCTTTCTGCTTGTTCTGTGGCTGTTGTAACACGGAATGATCCTTCTCTTGTAAAAGTGGTCCGACTGGCATCAAAAGTAGCAGTCACTCCACATTCCTTCTCCCTCTTCTGCTTCCGTTCTAAACAGGCCGCAAAAGCACAGCCTACTGCATGACTCAATCTTTCACCCTGTACGTAACAAAAGGTTTAAAAAACTTTTTTAGAGTTACAGTACCAACAACTACAAATTAGCCTGGACCACAAATAAGTCTACTTTTCACACATGGCAAAATGTTGGAAACTCCAGCTTAAAAATTGTAATTTAACATACCAATATGGCAAATTAAATGAATAAATTATCTCAGGTCATGCTTATGATACTTTACTGTGGTGGGCACTGTGCTTTTGTGTGCTGCCCCAGAGACCTCCTTATCAGTCAGGCCCCCTCTGTCACTCATGTTAGCTCTGGCCATCAGCTTAGGAGACACTACTCAAGGTCTGAAGCCCTAAGTCCTGACACAAATCCTGCATTTGCCATTTAGGGGAACAGTGGTAATAGGTACCAAGCATTTCTAAGAAACTATTGGAAAGGCAGGGTAAGTTTCAGGAGGCTAAACAGACTGTCGACAGGATGTAAACTTAAAACTTTGGCTAACTAAATACAACTCCAGAGATGACTCAGGAATTATGAAAAGGAAAGCTTAGCTTTCTCAGTCTGCCCTTTCCGAATACTCCCTCCCTAAGCCCTAGGCCCTCATCACTTTGATGCTTTCCCCCTTACCTTCCCTATCTCCCAGCTCTCTTACCTCAACTCTCCCTCCCACCCACACACAGGCAGAAGTTAAAGGAGGATTTCGTCCACACTCCCTATTTACAAAGGAATTAAATAAATAAAATTGATTTGTTTGTGTGTGGGAAGAGAGGAGAGCTTATACAAACTACATATTGTTTTAAAGATAAACTGGATAACCTAGAGAAAATTAATAAACTCAATGGATTATTTTTATCAGGGTTATCTGTATTTTAAACCACATATCTAATTGTGGAATAAAAAAAATTAGAGATGATACAATAACTGCTGGTATCACTAACAGTGAAAAAAGGTATTTGAGAACAGGGAACCCTCTGTGGAATTTTCAAAATCACACAGTATAGGCAGCTACTCCTACATTTGGTTCTGAGCAACTTCCTGCATTTTATATGCCAGTATCAGATACAATAGGAAGTCATGTATGAAATGCCTTTTGTCACACGATTATAAACTGTAAGATTTCACTTAACTGCCTACTAAGAACGGACAGTTACTTTTTATTCATCCACATGAGTTTCCATCTAACTTCTTAGGAAGATGATATTAAGAGTACAGCACTGAACCATGAAATAGGAGAGCACCGAAAAAATTTCAGAACCTGTCTGCATCTGAACAGCTCTATTTTAGGAATAGAGCTACAGCCCAAAGAAGATTATATCTCCTAGGCCTAGGGCAGAAGTTCTTGAACAGAGACCCTCTCCAAGCCCCTCCATCTGCGATCCACCGAATTTTGAAAAACTCTGAGGGTGGGCCTAAAAAACTATTTTATTTTTTTGAAGATTTTATTTATTTGTTAGAGAGAGAGACAGAGAGCAAGCACACACACAAGCAAGGGGAGTGGCAGGGCAGAGGGAGAAGTAGGCTCCCAGATGAGCAAGGAGCCCAGTGTGGGACTCAATCCCAGGGCCCTGGGATCATGACCCGAGCTGAAGGCAGATGCATAACCGACTGAGCCACCATTACATGCACCGAGACATCCCAGCTAACACACTTTTTTTTTTTTTAAAGATTTTATTTATTTATTTGACAGAGAGAGGTGACAAGTAGGCAGAGAGGCAGGCAGAGAGAGAGAGGAGGAAGCAGGCTCCCCACTGAGCAGAGAGCCCGATGCGGGGCTCGATCCCAGGATCCTGGGATCATGACCTGAGCCGAAGGCAGATGCTTAACCATCTGAACCACCCAGGCACCCCTAATTATTCTTTTTTTTAAGGAGACTTTATTTATTTGAGGGGGGGGAGGCAACAGAGGGAGAGAGAGAGAGAAGCAGACTCCCCACTGAGCAGGGAGCCCGACGATGGGCTATCATGACCTGAGGCGAAAGCAGATGCTTAACCAACTGAGCCACCTAGGCACCCTCAATTTCCCCCTATTTTTAATCAAAACTAAAAGTTTCTACTACGCAACAATTTCTGCAAAGTTCACCACACCGTAATTTCAGTATGTCCTTTTTTTTTTTTTTTTAAATAATCTCTACCCAACATGGGGCTTGAACTCATGACCCTGAGATCAAGAGTCACATATGCCGCAAACTGAGCCAGCTAGGCACCCCAGTATTTCTATTTTTTAATTAACTGAAAATATATCTCAACTCAGTTCATTCATTTGTAGTAGAATTCCTCTGCAAATAAATTTATAAGCACCTTAATGCCAATGTCTTGTTTGTTTTTGTTTTGTTAGATTTTTAAACATTTTTCGAGAGATGCCTGGGTGGCTCAGTCAGTTAAGTGTCTGCTTCAGCTCAGGCCATGATCCTGGGGTCCCGGGATCGAATCCGGCATCAGGCTTCTTGCTCAGTGGGGAGTCTGCTTCTCCCTCTGCCTGCAGCTCCCCCTGCTTGTGCTGTCTCTCTCTGACAAAAATAAATCAAACTGTTAAAAAAAAATTTATTTGAGAGACAGAGAAAGTGAGAAGAGAGAACAGGGTGAGGGATGGAGGGAGAAGCAGACTTCCTACTGAGCAGGAAGCCCAAAGTGGGGCTCAATCCCAGGATCCTGGGATCATGACCCGAGCCGAAGGCAGATGTCCAACCGACTGAGCCACCTAGGCATCCCTAATGCCAGTATCTTCTACCTAGATGTATTAACATGTGAAAGCAAGTTTTTCACAAAAACATGTAAGAATCTTGAAAATAGTTCTTTTTTTATTATATTGTTAGCCAGAATATAGTACATCATTAGTTTTTGATGTAGGGTTCAACAATTCATTAGTTGCGTATAACACCCAGTGCTCATCACAACACATGCCCTCCTTAATACCCATCACCCCAGTTCTAATAATTAAAAATTTCAAGTAAAGTTTAGCAGCCACCATCACTGGAGCACTTTTACTTTCCTTTAATGACCTTGGCTCTCAGCTAATCATCTTGCTCTGTGAGCTGAATGAAAGCAGGCTCGTTTAGGCACTTCCAAGTGCTGTAAGAGCAGGTACTTATAAAAAAACGTAGTGGGAATTGCTTAGCTGAGCCAACCCAGAGTGAGTTTGGCTAGCTGAGGCTAGTCATGATGAAGTCTACACTGCTGGACTCACCGTGTCCTTGACAGCCATAAAGCAATGACAGATCCAGCGCCGAGTGGTGCCATCACGGCATATGTAAGAGAATGCTCTATCAAAGTTCCTATCTGGGGCACAGAAAGAAACTTTTTCTATTGTCTGGTCAACTATGAGGTCCTGGAAAAAGGGAAACACAAAGAAATAGAGGATTTACCAGGTTATTCAAGGTTCTCAGAATAAACACGGATGCTCATTTCACAATATAGAGTCTCTAAAACTAAAGCATCAAAACTATGAAATAGTGATCTGAGGCCAGCAGTCTGAATACTAAGAATTTGATGAAGAAGAGATCCCAAGAGGCACTCTGCTCAGATGCCTTTCTCACTTCATCTTTATGTTCTAAAACAGATGCTTGCTGATTTTAGTTTTATCACGTACATTGTATGTTCAATTTGATAATATATGTAAATCAATAAACTCCATCCAATTCCCATATAGTTTGTATTAACTTAGTGATCATTTGATTTTGAGTATGACTTTGTATACTTGCTGAATGGCATTGTATCTATACAGTATAAACATTACACAAAATGTTTTTTAAAATCTTGAGGCTCTTCTTTGTGAATCTCCCATACCCCAGAATCCCTAGATGCTGAGGTGGGGCTACAAACACTAAAACAAATGATTTTTAAAAAATGGCTTTTATAAAGCATCACTATGAGAATTTATGTTGCTCCACAAACTTGCCAGCCAATTTTTAAAAATTCTGTAACTCTGGTGGCTCATTATTATTTTATTTTTCATAACCTTGATTATTATGAATTTCCTCTTTAGCAATGTAATTCTTCATGTCTTTTGGATTATCTGTCATTTTTCTTACTGACATGTACGAGTTCTTTATATATTCTAAATATGAGCCCTTTATAGATTGTACACACTGCAAAACTTCTTTTCCATTCATGATGGGTCCAAGGGTGAAAAGCCAATTACCATTATCACTAAAGTGGAAAGAACCAAGCTAATTAATGCCAGTGCCATACGTAGCCACCAGGGGGCAATATCACCTATGAACTGGTATAAAACAAAAACTGCCTCCACGTACAACACATTTCATCCAAAACACTAAAGAAAACTATACAAGTTCTTAACAATAAGCTAATTAGGATGATCACGGTTTCCAATAATAGTAATAATGTACATTTAAGACTATCACTTCTTCTGAACTTAAAAAAAGGGGGCCCTCATATGAAGGGCAAAAGAACTACTGCAACTGTATTAATAGTTATACCTAAAGTGTATCAGTTAAGTTATCCATCAAAATTGCTCTTTAGCTGCCAGACTGTCTTCCTTTCAGTGACACATGAAGTTTTTTGAAAAACTGCCTTCTTGTTAAAATTTCTCCAGACTTTAGGTCTCTTAGGAAATTTAAATTAATGATTAAATGTGCTTATATAAGACTTAATGCTCTCTAATGTCAGAGTCTATGTCTCCCTTCTTCTTCAGGCATGTAGGATCACTTTCTTTCAAATGCAAAATGCCGTCTCTGATATAAGATATTGTGTAGATTCTAAGTAAGTGTTAACCAAATGAGCCATTTACTAGTCCTTAAGATTTTGCTTAAATTGGCTTTTTTTAAGTTAAACAGTAGGTTAATCATTTCAAATATCACTTTCTAAGAATATAGTTCCCTTTATTAAGGAACAAGAAGAAATTTCAGATGTGGTCTTTTTTTTTAAACTTTGGTAAAAGGTCCATTATATTTTACATCAAATTTGTGGGAGTAAACATTTTCTTAAAATGTGTAAGAACAAAATCCTAACATTAAATGCAAATGTTTACTACACTAAACATGCTGTTACGTAGAGCAAACTGTTGTGAGAATTCTGTTTTTCATAAGGTTAAATGAGTAACTGAATTTGTTTTCTTTTTTTTTTTCTCTTCTTTAATTTTTTTTTTTTTTCTCTTCTTTCTGAATTTGTTTTCTGAACACTAGTATCTCCAAAGACTTTGGACAAAGTGGAAGGCTACAGAGTGACTACAGCAGCTTCACGGCATTATATCTGATCATTAGGGATTTAAAAAAAATGAACAGTAACATTCACGCTTATAAAATTTTTACCTTAGTTTTCTCATCCACAACTCTCAGTCCATCTGCTGATACCCACAGGACTGCCTTAACTGCTTTCTTTCCAGTCTTTTAAAGAGAAAGCAAAAAGGAAGGGGGGGGGGGGGAGACACAAACATACATAACATTAAAAAAAAAAAAAAGGTCATCTTCCATAGAAAACATTGACTTCTGCCTTCCAAAAGTCACAAGTACAGATGGAGTCCAAGTTCAGGAGGGGTGCCCAAAGCCAGATACTCAAACGAAACTGTAGAAACATTCAGGAAAAAAACAAGCCAAAGCCATTATTTTAGAAACACAATGCAAAACAATAAGATAAAATTAAGCAAAGGGGAAAGACAGGTGGACTCAAAACCAAGATATCACATTCCATAAAGGGCAAAGAATTCATAAGTAGATTCTTCACCCCTTTAAAAAGTCAACCAAGAAAACCAAGAGTCAGATAAATATTAAATACATAAGGAGTTACACCACAAGTAGCTTCTACAAATGTATTTACTGTAAAAAGTAATACACAGGTCTAAACTGAGATGTTGACCTATCCTTTGACTCCTAATATATATAGCAGAACCGCGGTCATCTGAAATTTTCATGTTAAACACCCAAGAAGTCTTCATTATTCCTTTAACAATCTTTAAAGACCATTATTTCTGCTGTCAGGATTAACACAGAACTCGTTTAGTTTTTAATTTGATATTAAATGCATGGAGACATTTTGGAGACACAGGAGGATTAAAAAACTTAAAAAAATACTAATATTATTACATGAATTCTTACTGGCTGAGAAAAGACTTCTTTTGGCACACAAGAATCATGTGAGAGTAAGCCGATGTACGCTTTCTCCTGTGACGGAATGAAAATGGGAGAGTGGGACTTCATAATAGTAATTTAACAGCTTCCTGTCTCTTCAACTGCTTTAAGGATACAAGCAAAATAAAAGGAAAGCAAAATAAAGGCTAAGAATAGGTATCAGATTATAAAAAATATAAATCAAAAGGAATCTGGTAGTAAAACTGCAGCAGCAGCCTGTAGAAGGGACAGAAGGGGATAAAGAAATATCTACCACTCTCCTCTGTATGTGTCCAAGCCCAGCATTCCTCCATATTTGTTTAAATGAACTGTGTACTCCCCTCCAGGCTCATCATCTCCACCATCACCAGGCATTTGATAAGAGCCTATTACATGCCAAGCAGTGAAAACTGTCCACTGAAAGGCAACACTTTGATAAACAAAAAATAAATAATATAATACAGTAGTAAGTGTTATAGTAGAGCTGCAAACAATGTATGATGTCAGAAAGGAGGCATGGTCAAATCTAACTGTGGAATCAGGAAGGTTATTCAAAGGAGAAGATCAAAGTAAGTACTGAAATAATTTTTCTAGATGCACAAGGTAGGAGTAGGGGGGTAGGGAATTGACAGGTAGTGGATATGATAGGCAGCAGCAGCAGCATAGGACACGGAAGCAAGCAACGTGGCAAACCTGCACTCCATAAATACTTCAGTATGACTCGAGAGTAGGATGGGTGAATAAGGAGTAGTGGGAGATAAAGAGTAGGAAAGCTTAGTCACGGAGGGCCATGTATGCTTACTGAAGAATTCTATCTTAATTTTGGGGGGCAATTAGGAGTTACTAAACGAATTTTTAAATGCATATTTAAAACATCACTGTGGCAGCAGTGTAGATGGACTGGAAAAAGACTGACAGGAGGCAGAACGACCACAATATGATTCGAGATGATAGAAAATGAGGGTTAAGCTCTCTTCATTGAGAAAAGGATAGAAATGAGAGAGTTTTAAATGGAAAACACAAGGGAGAAGTCAGAAAATGCCTCTCAGATTCTTGGTTTGGGTAATTAGGTAGAGAAAGTACTACAACTAAGAGAACAGAAGAAATGCAAAAGTAAGTTTAAGGGGAGAAGAATAAGAGTTCGGTTTTACATAAGCAAAGTTTGGAATGCCTAAGCAATATCCAGGTAGAGATGTATAACAAGTAATTGGATACACAGATCTGAAGCTCAGCAGAGAATTCTAAGATGGAATTTTAGTTTTGGGAAACACCAATCATGGGAGTAGTAAGAAGACCAAGGGCAGGAGAGATTATCAACAAATAACTGGGAGAAGATGAGTCTTTGAAATATTAGAAAAGGAAAAACCAGAAAGACAGGAGAACGGAGAGACTAGGGTTATTGAAACTAAGGGAGAGGGGTTTCAAGAAGTAGTGGGGGTCCAAAATGTCAAATGTTTCAAAGTGATCAAGCAAGAAATGATGTGCAATGTGTCCACTGGATTTAGCAATGAAGATGTGGTAGAGTGATAAAGCTTGTAATGGTTAATCTTATGTGTCAAATTGGCTAGGCTACGATTGCACAGGTTTTTGTTTGTTTTTGTCAAACAGTAGTCCAGATGTTGCTTTGAAAATATTTTGTAGGGACGCCTGGGTGGCTCAGTTGGTTAAGCAGCTGCCTTCAGCTCAGGTCATGATCCCAGCGTCCTGGGATCGAGTCCCACATCGGCCTCCTTGCTCATCAGGGAGCCTGCTTCTCCCTCTGCCTCTGCCTGCCATTCTGTCTGCCTGTGCTCACGCTCTCTCCCTCTCTCTCTCTGACAAATAAATAAATAAAATCTTTAAAAAAAAAATTTGTAGATGTGATTAACATTTACAATCAGTTGACTTTAACTTTTTTTTTTTTTTTGGTCAGAGAGAGTGAGCACAGGCAGACAGAGTGGCAGGCAGAGGCAGAGGGAGAAGCAGGCATCCCGCTAAGCAAGGAGCCCGATGCGGGACCCGATCCCAGGACTCTGGGATCACGACCCGAGCCGAAGGCAGCCACCCAACCAACTGAGCCACCTAGGCCTCCCCAGTAGACTTTAGATAAAGGAGATTACCCTTGATAATATGGGTGGGCTTTGTCCAATCTGTCGAAGACTTTAAGGTTAAAAACAGGTTTTCCTAAGAAGAAATTCTGCCTCAAGTCTCTGACATAGAAATTCTGCCTTAGCTTCTAGACTGCTGGCTGGCCCTACAGATTTCAGACTTGCCAGCCCCAATAATTGCATGAGCCAATTCTTAAGTCCCTCCCTCTCTCTATATGTATAGACAGATACCTAAATGTATACATATACATAGGTGTGTATGTGTATACACACACACACACACACACGCACATAAAGAGAGAAACAGATGGTGGTTCTGTTTTTCTCGAGGTTCTGACTAATACAGAAGTGTAAGTCAGACTAGGATAAGTTGAAAAGTAAAAGGCAGGAAGTGTCTGTAAATATTACTCTCTTTAAAAAAGCTTTCCTAAGCTTTTGGGCAGCAAAAGAAACCATCAACATAATGAAAGGGCAACCTACTGAATGGGAGAAGGTATGTGCAAATGATAACATCTGATAAGGGGTTAATATCCAAAATACATGAAAAGAATTTATACAGCTCAACACCAAAAAACCCAAATAATCTGATTAGAAATGAGCTGAGGGCTTGAAAAGACACTTTTCTAAAGAAGACATACAGATGGCCAAAAGACACATAAAAAGATGATCCACATCACTAATTATCAGGGAGATGCAAATCAAAACCGCAATGAGATACCACCTTAGACCTGTCAGAATGGCCAGAATCAAAAAGACAAAAAGTAACAAGTGTTGCTGAGGAGGTAGAGAAAAAGGAACTCTCATGCACTGTTGGTGGGAATGTAAACTGGTGCAGCCACTGTGGAAAGTAGCATGGCAGTTCCTCAAAAAATTAAGAATAGAACTATCATAAGATCCAGCAATTCCACTACAGGGTATTTACCCAAAGAAAATGAAAACACTAATTTGAAAAGATACATGCAGCCCCATGTTTATTACAGCATTATCTGTAATAGCCAAGACATGAAAGCAGCCCGTGTCCATCAATAGATGAATGGATAAAGAAGAGGTAAGATACACACACACAATGGAATGTTACTTTGCCACAAAAAACAACGAGGTCTTGTTATTTGTGACAACATGGATAACCTACAGGGTATTTTGCTAAGTGAAATAAGTCAGATAGAGAAAGACAAATACTATATGATTTCCTTGTATGTGGAATTTCAAAAACAAAACAAATGGCAGAAACAGATCCATAAATACAGAAAACAAACTGATGATCAACAGAGGGAAAGAGGATGAGGGCCTGGACAAAACGGGTAAACAGGAGTGGGAGATACAGGCTTCCGGTTATGGAATGAGTCACAGGAGAAAAGGTGCAGCGCAGGGAATATAGTCAATGGTACTCTAACAGCGCAGTAACAGATTGTAGCTACGCCTGTGGTGAGCACAGCTTAACGTAGAGATTTGCTGAACCACTGTGATGCATACCTGAAACTCATTAACACTGCGTGTCAGCTATACTTCAATGAAACACAACTTAAAAGTTGAAAAAAAAAAAAAGTTATAAAAAGGTGCTGGGACCCAGCAGCCACACAGTAGTGGGTACCTTTACAGAACAGGTCCGAGTGGGGCTCGGACAGTCACCTTTGGCTTTTGCACCCAACCAGATGATTTGCCTTCAAACTCTGAGCCTTCAAAGCACTTCACTTGATTTTCTTTTAAGATTTTATTTTTAAGTAATCTCTACACCCAACGTGGGGCTCAAAACCCACAACCCCCGAGATCAAGAGTCTCACCCTCCACTGACAGAGCCAGCCAGGTGTGCCACACTTCCCTTGATCTTTATCTGTATTGGTCCAGGGTCCCGAGTCAAGAAAGCTTATAAGGCAGCTTTGACTAAAGATGACTTCCTTATTTGGTTAAGAAATTCTCCTTTCAAAAACACATGAAGAAACAGTATCACAAAGATTATTACTTTGACAAATGGAGAATAAATCTGTAGATGAAAATAAGGAAAAGGCATCTCAGATGCAAACAGCTGAGACTGCTTTTAAAAGGAACCTTAGTCTTTTTTTTTTTTTTAAAGATTTTATTTATTTGACAGAGAGAGATCACAAGTAGACGGAGAGGCAGGCAGAGAGAGAGAGAGGGAAGCAGGCTCCCCGCTGAGCAAAGAGCCCGATGCGGCACTCGATCCCAGGACCCTGA